CTTTGCTATTCGACCAAAAAGTAACGCTGCTTAATGGTGTTAGGCTTATATCTTAAAATAATACTTAAGAATAAAGGTATTATTTTATTCTAACTAGTCCTAAAATACGATTGATATAAGCTAAATTATACTAACTTAAAATAAGAACTATATTTAGTTTTGAAACGGGGTTTAATACTAATATTAGCGAACGATTTAGATATCTATATAATATATATTTATAAGAGGAATCTAGTATAATTGATAGACCTTCTTACGGACTAGGTAAACTAATAATCCGGTTTACCGCGGTAGCTAATAAGTAATCTAGGCGCGGATTTGAGAGCGCTAGGAGTAGTAGTAGGAGGGAGAGATAATATCTTAGCCTACGAAGCGCTTAGTAAAATAGCCTAATAAGAAGGTACTACGATTATATGAATGAGGTATTTAATATACGTGCTAGCTAGGTAAGCGAGCTAGCTACCTACTAATTATTAATAGTATTAAATCATATATTTTAGCACTATAACGTCTTATAATAAAAGATAAAGCTATTTAGACCTCTTGAGGTACCTATTTCTCTTATATCCTATATTTTTATAAAGGCTATACCGCTACCTTGCTCTCTAAGGCGGCTAAGTAGGTGTTAGCGAAGACCCCCCTCCTTAGCTAATCCTACTTTATTAGCTATTTCTAGCGCTAAAACCGTTAACAAAGTATCTAAAATAGTTATACTACCTTTATAAGCTATTAGCTTCCTTATACGCTCGTTCTTATAGGTAGTCTTTATATTAGTACCCCGTAATTTGCTATTTTACTATCGTATAATAGTAGCGCTATATATAGGTAAAAAGTAGCCTTCTATAATATACTTAAAAGCTACCTCTACCCGTAATAGGATAATCTAGAGATCGTAAGGAGAGAGACGTATAAAGTAATGAATGTAATGATATTTGCTGAATAGGGGCAAAGCACTAATAGAGGATAGAGGAGAGAAAAGGGAAGAGAGAGCTAGCTAACTAAGGATTAGTTCAACTACTATGAGCGAGTTACGTGATCTAGATAGTTATCTTATAGCATTTTATTAATATATAATGCTTACTACCGTATATCTTTTACTATATATAGAGTTTTTTGGGTAGAATAAGGCTCGAACCGCTTATGTGGCTCGGAGGTAGGAGTGTATAGGCGTATACTTTTATATACCCCTTATAAGAGGGTCTTATAACTTAGGCTATCCTTAACACCCTATAGCTATTGGTCTATATTAATATATAAATTAAAGGTGTTAAGTAGATATCTATTCCTTAAATAGCCGTGTTATGGGACTACCCCCTACCCGAGAGCCCTTAGCTATAATATAATTCTTAGCTATAATGCAAATTTCCTAATTTTCAACTTTACGCGAATTTTTACCTACTAAGAATGCTAAAAAAAGCTCGTGATAAAGAGGCTCTGCTAGCTAAGGTATTAGATACTTATAAATCATACGAATTTTTACTATGTAAGGCTATAGACTATTATCGCGTGTCTTATTTAAAGCTTCGCGGTCGTAAAAATAGAAAGATATCTCTCTCTAATTGCACTACTACTAATAATATATTAAATTCGAATTAGGAAAATATTTTAATTAGCTAGATCGAAGTGCTAAATTATTACTATATATCTCTATATATAAAAGATACTAAAAATACTATAAATAGCCTATTAAAAATAGTAGGTTTAGAGAGAGTTATTAGTCTAATATATAGCTATTAGTTTATATAGCGTCTACCTATATATATTAAGCTTATATCTAAGAATAAAAGGAATCTTTACGAATTAAAGCTAAGGATTCTAGAGTTACTAGCTATTAGTATAATAAGCTTACTTATCTCTATCGTAAGTATAATTTTAAACCTTATAAGATCTATAATTAGGATAAAACTAGCTTCTAAAATAGCGAAGGATTTAACTAATATATTAAGATATAAGCCTGACTATTAAGTAGCGTTAATTTTTGGTTAAATAGCAAATTCCTCTATTCTAAGATAATATACTTCTTATACCAATCCTAACATCCCTAGTAGCCGCTCCTACTAGTACTCCTGAGTATATTATAGCCTTCCTTACTACTAATATCTCTATTACTACCCTTATTAGTTCTAATATTAAAGCCTCCGCTTTAGTAGCTAAGATTAAGACGTTAGATTTTATAGACCTAGAACCTATTTTTCTTAGAAAGGTAGCATCTAATCCTATCTTAATTTCATATCTCTCCCTATAGTACTTGCTAATCTTAGTTCCTAAGATTTATTCCCTAGGCCTTTTTAGGCGAACGTACTTTTAGTATATTAGCTATATCTGAATTAGGTACTTGCTATATGTTTACTAAGCGCCGTAGGAGTTTAGCTTTATTAAAGTACGACTAATATCTAGATAAACGTTGTCCCTATAAGCTACCTCCTAACAATCCAGTACTCCTTAAGATATATACTCGCGTATTACTCTACTATAATCCTAAGAATAAAGTACTATAGATAAGGGCGGTCTAAGACAGGATCTAGCTTATACCCTATAATCGCACTAAGGCTTATAATAAGAAGGACCATTATCTTTTTTAATATAGGCTAGGGCTATAAAGGCTAGGGCTATAGCTACTACGATAGAAGAGGCTTAAGGTAATATTACTCTAGCGACTAACCCTAAGACTAAATCTAAGAAAGCGGTCTCTAGAAATGCTTAGTCTCCTTCTAAAATTAAGTCTAGTTAAGAGTATCCTTCCTAGGATAAGAATAAGACTAATAAGTAGTCATATTATTAGGGGACCGGTAATTCAACACCTCCCTGCCTGAATCATTAGGCACCAAACCCCAATCCGGTCACCGCCTTTATCACCGCTTTTGTACCGAACTTTTATTTTATTACCACCTGGTCTACCACTTCACTGCAGATAGACTAGAACTTGAGGTACCTCTAATTACTATGTAAACCCCTAGTAAAAAAAGGTCACTCCTGTTCCACTATAGTACCCAATAAGAAATTCAAAATAATTGCTGTTTACACCTTCAAACCTCCTATTTTACTACCCATTTCTTTCGCGTTTCACTCTCCTTTACTATGGCTTCCTCGCAGCCTGATTTGCCGTCCGATTCTGAGCCTGAAGCTATTCCCGAGTCCCCACCAACGCTGTATAGGCCAATTCCTTCATTTCTACGGAGTTTTTGAAATAGCATCTATTTCCTATTTGGGACTAGCGCCGTGCAGTTGGCGTAGTAGGTGGTAGAGTACAAAAGGGACTTCATTTAATTAGGGGGTCGCATAGTAAATGTAAGTACCTTATGCATGGTCGGTGGTTGCAGAAATATGTCCGGCAGAAAAAAAATTGGCCTGGGGATTCAGGCAGGGGGGATTGAAATAGGCAAAGGGGTGCTGAATTACCGGTCCCCTATTATTATTACCTTTTATATTATTATATTCTTTACTGTTCGTAATGAAATAAATAATAAATTATCTTAGGGCTAGCGAACCAAACAGAGATTGCGTGGGTGACTGCCTGGGTTAGTCGGCACGTGAGCTAAGCGCGTACTTAAAACTGTGAGAGGGTATGACTGCCGCTAGGCAGTCATAGTGGCCTTTTTGGTTCACGTTCTACCTTACTGAGCTCTCACGGTAGGGTCCAACACTATATATGTATCTAGAGGGGTTTTACCTTCTTAGGTAGGCTTAAGTCCTTCGTAAATAGTAATAATTATTACTACTATTATTACTACAGTATTTTCTTCTTTAAATCTAGCGTATAAAATTATTCTTAAAGATTTATACCACTTTAGTCTACTATAGCTCTAATTTTCATTCTTATTTAGTCTTAGATTTATTATATCCTTTCTACTTAACTAGATACTCTATATACCTAAGTGCCTTTTTATACTAGTGGTTATATATTTCTTTATTCTTATACTCTAGTTCCTTATTACTAGTATAAGGTCTATAACCCTCTAAAATATTTATCTAGTGTAAATATATAAACGATATAATATAATAAGGGATAATATAGGAGTGAAAGAATATAGTAGGCTCACTAATCAGTAAAATATCTCTAGCCTAGGAGAATCTAATCTCTAGTTTATATAATACTATTTTATAGCATTCTTAATGTTTTTATCTGTACATATCCTACTTTCTTAAAGGCTCTTACTTTTACGCTTTAATATGAGTCTTGTAGATATCTTTTAATATTAGTCCTAGGATTAGGAATAAACGCTTATTACGCGACATAAGGAGTGGCTTGGATAACGCTACAGTAGACGCTATTATAATATATTGAAGTGGGGAACCATAAAGGGGAACTATATGCCTGTCAGGACCACTGCCTGGCTGAGGAGGTCGGCGACACCTGAGGCACTGATAGCTGCCTCAGGACGTACTGTAAAAGGATGATCCAGGACCTCACCGCCCACGAATGGGCCAGTCTGTATATAAGCATTTCCCGCTGGACCGTGGAACGGGCCGGCGTTCAGTCCCTATTGTACTACACGCGTAACTGGGCCATCCACCTCGCTTACCCACCCAAACCTAGAGACTGCGTGGTCTCACAGTAGTATCGCTAAAAGCGACCAAGGAATCATCTCGCAGCAGGGAGTCGAAGGGTCATCGCAAAATAGCCCCCATCTACAGAGACCAAGTAAAACAGTTCAGCGCGCTTGTGGATAGTGTTAGGCGCCGGCGCTAAATTAGACCCACATGAGCCTCTACAGCGCTAACGTATATATTGTCTGTTTTTTAAAGCCATTTTCAAAGCTGAGTTGTTCATTGTGGGTGCCTTTACTAGCCTTGAAGATTCCGCTCGTTGCAGTCTAATGACTATGAACTGAACAGTAAATATATATAACCTCGTAGACTGTCACGTCACGTGCAACGGGTATTCGGCTCCTTGGTAGGCGTGGCGTCGCTGAGTCAAGCCCTGAAGCCAATCAGATTGATCCGTATTCACCTTATCCTCCTCAATTCCACTTTCCCTCCACATTCTTCCTCAACTCATAATGTCGTTTTCTAATTTGGTATCCGACATTGCTTTCCGTGATGCTCGTGTCGACGATGGCAGTTCACAAATCTCTCATGCCCGATCTCATGCGACCGCACGGTCGTACACAAGTACTGCCGCTACAAGCGTGAGCATCTCCGGCGAAGTGTCCAGCCAGCTGCATTCGGGATATAGCCATCCATTGACCAGGGCATGGCAGGCCGAGAGACAATTGACCAAGGTTTGTTCTCGATGCTGGAACCTAGGTCGCACCGACAGCCGTTAACCTCTCTAGGACATGCTCATTTATCCGTTGTTCATCACAGACAATCCTGACGAGGAGACTCCAATTCCATCATTGCCCAATCAATACCGCCGTGGAATTAACCGCCTAGTCCCTTTCCTTATCCCTCTAGTGCGGAAGGGTCTGCGATCGGTGATGTTGTTTGGAGTTCCTCTCCAGCCGTCGGCTAAAGATGCGCTCGGAACCGCCGCGGATGATCCCGATGGTCCTGTGATTCAATCCATTCGATTGCTGCGATCCCGTTTCCCTCAACTCTACATCACTACTGATGTATGCCTCTGCGAGTATACATCACACGGCCACTGCGGCATTCTTCGGGAAGATGGCACCTTGGACAATGCGCAGTCTGTTGACCGGATCTCTGATGTGGCCATTGCATATGCCGCAGCAGGAGCTCACTGTGTGGCGCCCTCTGACATGAATGATGGAAGAATCCGCGCCATCAAGTTGAAGTTAATTGAAGCCGGTGTGGCACACCGCGTGCTCTTGATGTCCTACAGTGCCAAATTCAGTGGGTGTCTATATGGCCCGTTCCGCGATGCGGCGGGCTCATGCCCCTCATTCGGAGATCGTCGCTGCTATCAACTGCCCCCAGGTGGTCGTGGCCTCGCCCGCCGTGCCATCCAAAGAGACATGGCTGAGGGTGCTGATATCATCATGGTCAAGCCAGCCAGCAGTTACCTGGATATCATCCGGGATGCCAAAGACTTGGCAAAGGATCTTCCAGTAGCCGCCTACCAGGTCAGTGGCGAATTTGCAATGATCCACGCTGCTGCCAAGGCTGGTGTGTTTAACCTGAAAGATATGGCCTTTGAAAGCACCGAAGGCATCTTGAGAGCGGGAGCTGGTATCGTCATCAGTTATTTTGTTCCAGAGTTTCTCGATTGGCTCTAGATGTTGGGTTTCTTCCTTTATTTGTGTCTCAAAAGTGCAATTGTTGGGCCTCGGGGTCTACTTGTGATTATGATGACTGCATTTCTACCCTTGGTTAGAGGGATTCCCCTTATGTGACATGACTTTTCCATTCTTGATATTTAATAATTACCCCTAAGAATGTCATTTCTTATATTTAAGACGTGGAGTTTTCTATTCTGTAAAAGGAAATTGTGGGAAAGTAGCCCTGGAGGGCACTAGACTTGCTTTGGAATACTAAATATCAGAATCAAGATATGGAAGACCATGCAGAAGCTTTGTGTATGTACTGCAAGACGACACCGGGCTCGCCAAAGAAATAGCGCTAATAAATACAAGGAAGCCATTCGTTAGCGACAGTGGATATCGTAGAAATAAAACCAAAAAAGAAAAGGGAAAAGGGAAAAAAGGCCTCAAATCATAACTCTGTTCGTCGGCTCATGACCTCCAGGGTTGGTATAGCCTGTCCTGGCCTCCACACATACAATTACACATAACTTCATTCACATCAAGTTGGGTTTCAATCCCTGATGCGTGTAAGCCGCAACATTTGTCCTGACAACCTCTCCCGGGGCCACATAAGCACCACGTTCAAGGCGGACACCCGGATAGATGATGCACCCAGCGCCGAGATAGCACTCCTGTTCGATAATGACTTGGCGGCCTTGATACCGAATCTGCGAGCCCTTGCGCTCCTGCATGTTAGGAGAAGCCGTCGAAGTAAGTATTTTGACATCGGGGCCTATCCAGGTGTGACAACCGATGCGGATGCCACAGTCATCCACAAACAGGCAATTCTCTGAGATCATGACATTCTCTTCAATATGAATATTGTATCCATAATGGCAGGTAAAAGGTGCCTCAACCACCACTCCTTGGCTAATGGACCCGACGGATCGAAATTCACCGACCCCAGGTGAATTGACAAAGGAACTTGCTGGGGGTACAATCAGTTCCTTTAGCAATCGGTTTTGCTCTTTTGTGCTGACTCCGGTGAGTGGATTGCAGGCATTGTTGAATCTCCACAGTGCGCCTCGACAACGGTCCCGGTCCTCTACGAGATGAACATCGAATGGTCGATAGAGGTCACCTCGGATCATCTTATCCTTCTCGGTATCAGCAGACAACTGTTGCTCTATGCTGAGTGCCATGCGGGCTTGCACCTGCGGGCTGTTCGTATCCACCGACGCAACGGGCAAGGTCCGTTGCTCCACACTCTGGAATATAGGCAAATTGGATTTCGGATGAGATCCGTGACCTATGTCCCGAATGGATGGGACTACGGGGTAGTCGGGTTTGGATCGTCCCTCTCGCGTTAGTTCATGGATGGATGGAACTTCCCGATAATCGGGCTTTGCCATCGGTTCGGATACATAAGGCGGATGGCCAGCACCTGGCCAGCCTTGTTTTGACCACCCATGACTAGATCCTGTGTTGTTCGAGTTGTACTGTGGCACAGGACGATCGTTATCTTCGACTACCAGGGGCCGAATTTTGGTCGCCTCCATATGCTCCAGGGCAGGCTGTCGATCATGGTGTCGAGTGGTTTCCTGCACATACGGACCATTTATGTCTGGGTACCCTTCTTTGGATTGCAACGGAATAGGTGTTTTTGTGCTGGATGGCTTTTGCCAGGTGCTCCTTGAAGAGTATCCTTCACACAAAAAACCGCCACGAAGACAGTTGTTGCCTACAATACATCATTAATGTCGCTCCTTGCCTAATGTGGATTGCCAGAGGCACCAGAACCACTGGGGATCGACTTACATGCCGGATGTTGCTCGTCGCATTTCTTCTTTCTGCGGCGGCAGGTCATGCAGCCTGTCTTTGTTCGGTTACTAAATACCCGCTTCCTTTTTGGAGCCACCTGCATAGCCCCATGCCGTTCTGGCGCATATCCGGGAGACGAAGCCTGAGCGCCCGGCGTAGAGCGATTTACACCGGGCCTCTCATGGCTTGCCTCCCGTTGCAGAGCATCCGCCAAATGGGCATCTGAGGCATCAATCTGTTGGGCTCGTTGTGCTTGAGTGATCAGCTGAGAATCATATTCTGACCAAGGACTGTTGGCTGATGTCTGGCCCGCATCATTGCCTTCGGACCGATGCGAAGGCGTTGCTGATTGATTGCCCCGTTCCTCTGATACCGATCCTGGCATCGTAGGGTTGGATTGGATTTCAGGACGATTCCCAGGACTTCTGGAAGAATCTCCCTCGTGGTTTGAGGATTCTTGATCTCGTGATTCTGATCTTTTTCTCTTATTCTTGCTGGATACCGGAGGCGAGGATCTCTGGGACAACCTTTCATCAGGATCTTTTACTCCCCGGTTCTCTCGCCGATCCGTATTGGTCTTTTCTTGAAGACCACGTTCTCCGGGATTCCCGCCGATCACAGGCTCTCTGCCATTGACTGCAGTAAAGCGGGATGGGCTATGTTCCGTCCCTGTTTCAGTACCGGAATCGTGGCCATTCATCACGGGTGCAGCTGCAAGGGCCGTCATCTGAATAGACAGATATACCAAGGCTCAAATTTTAGAAAGAAAGGCTAAACAATTCCCCATAGAAAAAAAGGAAAAAAAGAAAAGAAAGAGTTAAAGTCTCATAGATACTTAGAGCGCGGCAAGTTAAGAGTGGGGCGAGATCGGGCAGATTATGAGATCAAAGAGAAAAAGGGAAAGAAAAGGGAAAAACACGCTGAAAGGGAGGAGGGGGGGGGAGAGAGACTAATAAGGGGACCTATAGAAAGAAAAGTACTATAGAGTAATCCCCAAAGAGAAAGGGGAAGTTGGCGCGCGATCGGCAATGACGGCGTCACGAGCGAGACCAATCGGAAGGCTGATCAACCGTGTCCAGGTGAGGCGCGGGTCTGAGACATCCAATTCCCTCGTCCCAGCGACTCCAGGCGCTTTTCCATTGGAGATGCGCGCGCGTTCCCACCGTCCCGGGTGCATGACAAATTCTGCCGCGCCTGTGTCGGCAGGGCGGTTATGCTTCGCTTAGTGGTGACCCATGGAATGGGTTGAGATCACTCGGAAGTCATGATAGATGGAATATATATAATTCGGAATGGTACTCACTTCCCTCCTGACTCTTGTCACTACTTATAATAAGGCCCGCGTTTCCACGGTCGGATCTGGCGCCCATCTCGGAAAAAATGATGACTGCAGCGTGCCGCTGCGCTAGGACCGGGAAACTAAAATCACTAGGGCACGGATGCTTTCAGCCTTGATGACAGTTAGGAGACAAAGGAAGAATGGATACTAGGTAGTAAGATGGTAAATGGTGAGAAAGAAAGTAAACTAAAGTAAAGAAACATCAATCACCCTGGATATATGCAAAGTGGAAGCGTCAAACACCGCGGATGTGTGGCGGATGTGCGTCCCGGCGTACCGTGGAACCGCCTGGCGGAACCGCTGAACCGCTGAACCGCGCCAGAGCTCAGCTGACTAACCTTGGGCCCAACATCAACTCACCGCCAGAGTCTCTGATAGCTTTGTTTTTCTCCCCTCAATTTCTTGGGCTTTTGTTGCTCTCCAGTAAGCCGCGAGTCTAGACTCTGCCCAATCATCTCCTGACTTTCGAGAGAGGTACAACCCCTCAGGACTTTACCCCACCCCCAATCCCCTTAGCCTCTGCAGCCGTCCTGGCACCTCCACTGTCCAGGCGGTTCCTTATCTCTTTTGACTCTTGAACATATCGTGGCGAGTTCGCCAGTCTGCGGGATGTCGATTTCGGTGCAAGAGCTGGACAACACCGTCCGTGCCTTGTTTGAAGGCAAAGGTGACCTGGTAAGTGATCTACGTCAGACCCCTCACATCCCACATCGCCTGGTTCTGGGTTCTGGGTTCTGCAATTCCATTCCAATACTGATATCCTTGATCACGGCTAGCAAAAACAAGCCCAGCAGACCTTGACTGAAGTAAGAGTGACTCCCTCCCTCCCTCCCCACTCGTATCAAAGACTGATCTGGAATCTTGTTTTGCAGTTCAAGCAAAATCCCGATGCCTGGGTTACCGTGGGCAACATTCTCCAAGAAGCATCATATCTTCAAACTAAATGTGTGTTTTGAACTTAAAATACCCCCACTGGTACTGATCGAAGGCCAGAGCCCTGCTGACCCTGATAGACATTGCGCTTCAAGTCCTTGACGATGTGATTATGACCCGATGGAAGGTTCTTCCAAGAGACCAATGCCAAGGTAAGAGCCACAATCACTTTGCTTCCGTCTGGTCCTAACCAAGATTGTCTCCAGGTATCCGCAATTTCATCGTCCGGTTCATCATCGAAAACTCCGATTCGGAGGAGAAGCTACACGCGGAGCGGCCCTTGTTGAACAAGCTTAATCTGGTCCTTGTCTCGATTTTGAAACAGGAATGGCCGCACAACTGGCCGAACTTTATCAACGAGATCATTTCCTCTTGCCACGCCAGCCTCTCGATTTGCGAAAACAATATGACTATTCTGCGGTTGCTGTCGGAAGAGGTCTTTGACTTTTCGCAAGATCAAATGACTTCTGTTAAAGCACGGAATCTGAAAACATCCATGACCTCTGAGTTTGCTTCCATCTTCCAACTGTGTTCTGAAGTCTTAAACACCGCGAACCAACCCAGCTTAGTCAAGGCGACTCTCGAAACTCTCCTCCGCTTCCTCAACTGGATCCCGTTGGGCTACATTTTTGAAACGCCCATCATCAACACTCTCCTCACCCGATTCCTCGGTGAGCCTGATTTCCGAAATGTGACCCTCAAGTGTCTGACGGAGATTGGTGGACTGCAAATTGGAACTCCTTACAACTATGACGAACGATTGGTGCACATGTTCACCGAGACACTCACCACCGTGTCCAACGTCATTCCTCTGTCCATGGATTTGAAGGAGACATATGCTATGAGCAATGGAAGAGACCAAGAGTTTGTATCAAACCTGGCTCTGTTCCTCTCGAGCTTCTTTAGTGCTCATCTGGATGTACGTGGGAACCCTGGTTTTTAGAGAGCACTGCTAACATATCCCTTCTTGAATCTAGCTCATTGAGAAGTTGCCGAACCAGGATTATCTTACACATGCGCACTTCTACCTCATTCGCGTCAGCCAGATTGACGACCGGGAAGTTTTCAAGATCTGTTTGGATTACTGGACTCGGCTGGTGCAAGAGCTCTACGAAGAGATGCAGCAGCTTCCCATCACCGACATCAACCCGCTAGTTTCGATGAGCGTCAGCGGCCTGGCCAATGGCGGTGCGCCCAACCCCAATACCCTAGCGAATTACCCTCTGCGTAAGCACAAGTACGAGACTGTGCTATCCAACCTCCGCACTGTGATGATCGAGAAGATGGTCCGCCCGGAGGAGGTCCTAGTTGTTGAAAACGATGAAGGTGAAATTGTCCGTGAATTTGTCAAGGAGAGCGATACCATCCAGCTTTACAAGACGATACGCGAGTGCTTGGTTTACCTGACTCACCTTGACGTGGTCGACACTGAGACCATCATGATCGAGAAACTGGCAAAGCAGGTCGATGGAACCGAATGGTCGTGGGTAAACTGCAACACCCTCTGCTGGGCCATTGGTTCCATCTCCGGCGCCATGAATGAAGAAACCGAAAAACGTTTCCTGGTCACTGTCATAAAGGACCTTCTTGGCCTCACAGAACAGAAGCGTGGAAAGGACAACAAAGCTGTGGTGGCTAGTAACATCATGTACATTGTGGGACAATACCCACGTTTCCTGAAGGCTCACTGGAAGTTCTTGAAGACTGTCGTTAACAAGCTTTTCGAATTTATGCATGAGACGCACGAAGGTAGGTTGCTCGATATCCCCCATATTTTCAAGATTCCCTAACTGACCCACATACAGGTGTCCAAGATATGGCCTGCGATACCTTCATCAAGATTGCCAACAAATGCAGACGTCATTTCGTGGCCCTTCAGCCGGGCGAGAGCGAACCCTTTATTGAGGAGATTGTTCGGAACATGCGGAAGATCACCATGGACCTTTCGCCTCAGCAGATCCACACTTTCTACGAAGCCTGTGGCTACATGATCTCTGCTCAAGGTCAAAAGACACTCCAGGACCGGCTGACTGAGAACTTGATGGCCCTTCCCAATTCCGCCTGGGACCAGATTATTGCAGAAGCCAACCAAAACCCGGCAATCCTCCAGGATGGCAACACCATCAAGATCGTTGGAAACATCATGAAGACGAATGTCGCAGCCTGTTCCTCAATTGGCACCTACTTCTATTCCCAGATCGGCCGGATCTACCATGACATGTTGAATATGTACCGGGCAGCTAGTCAGCTCATTAATGATGCCGTCGCGAATGATGGAGCCATCGCTCCCAAAACCCCCAGAGTCCGAGGACTTCGGACCATCAAAAAAGAAATTTTGAAGCTCATTGATACCTATGTGGATAAGTCAGACGACGTCACCATGGTTAACGACAGCATGGTGCCACCACTCATGGAGGCTGTCTTGATTGATTATGCTCGCAACGTTCCTGATGCCCGAGAGGCTGAGGTCCTGAATGCCATGACGACGATCATCCACAAGCTTCATAATCTGATGGAGGACAAGATTCCCGCCATCATGGATAGTGTTTTCAACTGTACTCTGGAGATGATCAACAAAGATTTCCACGAATACCCTGAACACCGAGTCGAATTCTTCAAGTTGCTCCAAGCGGTCAACCTTTACTGCTTCCAGGCGCTCCTCAAGCTCGATGCTGCGCAGTTCAAGTTTGTCATCGACTCGTGCATGTGGGCATCAAAGCATGACAACCGAGAGGTTGAGAACACTGGCCTGACCATGTGCCTGGAGCTGATGAACAACATGGCCGAAACCGACTTGCAAACTTCAAGTATCTTCTTCCGCCAGTTCTACGTCTCGATCCTTCAGGATGTTTTCTTCGTCTTGACGGACAGTGACCACAAGGCTGGTACGTATAGCCCTTGGTTTTTGACACTCAGCAAGAGACTCACAACTTTATAGGGTTTAAATCACAGGCTCTGCTTTTGCAGCGCATGTTCTTCTTCGTCGAATCTGGCAAGATCCAAGAGCCGATCTATGGCCCCGATCAAGCCCCAGCCGGAACTTCAAACAAGGAGTTCTTGCAGCAGTACATTGCAACGCTGCTCCAGAATGCTTTCAAGAATCTTCAGGAGTAAGTCTTCTAACAACTGGATCAGTGACACTTACGGAATTGTTACTAACTTTTTTCAACAGGGGACAAATTAAGCTGTTTGTCATCGGGCTGTTTGAATACACCGATGATCTCAACAAGTTCAAGACTCATCTCCGTGATTTCTTGATTTCCCTGAAGGAGTTCTCCGATGATAATGCCGATCTCTATGCCGAGGAGAGAGAACAGGCGGTGCGCGATGCCCAAACGGCCGAGCGCGACCGCGCCATGAAGGTAGGAGGTCTCTTGAAGCCATCGGAGATGGACCAGGAGGATGAGCTATGACTAGACCAAGAACTACGCACCGAGTTCGTTGCTTCTACTGGTTCTCCCGGACATGAGCAGGCTTCGAGGTTGACTTCTAGGAATGACGGCCTTGATGGCTGGTCCCTCTACGAGCTCTAGATCACGGGAAGCTGCGAGGCGCAATTCGAGGCCCATGGGAAGATGTGTGTGGATCTATTATTGTTTTTTATTTCTTTTCCTTGGCTATCGGGCATGCGACATAGACCCTATTTCTGGCTAAGCGGCGGGCTCTTCGGGGTTGGTGTATGAAGGCTCTACCGTACGGAACGGATCTACCAGTTTCATCCTCTAGTGCACTCGACCCGTGAAAGGCGAGATAGTTTTTTAACAAATGGTCTAAAAGACCAAAAAGCCAAGACCAATTCCAATTCCAATTCATTCCATAACATGTAGCTCTTGAATCCCGTGACATGTAAAGCGGTGAGCCCTTATCAGTTGCATCATCTGGAAAAGTTCCTACTTTTCATGCAACTGTATACGCCTCTCGCACAATGTCTCGAACACGCCAACCGATGTCAAATGCGCTCCAAACAACTACTGAATCTTTTCGGGACTCATCGATGGCCGGTGTTCCCGCCACCCTCAGATTGCGAGCGGAGGAAGCACCAACCAACACTCGCGAAGAAACCTCCGCGAGTCGCAGGATTAGATGGAGCGAAGATGTTGTTGACAACGAAGGCATGGGAAAGAAGAGCTCCAAAGGTACGTCGAAACTTTATGCCTCCCCACTTAAGCAACTGATTTCCCTAACAGCCCTTAGTATGCTGCATCTACCACAAAGCCCGGCCGGTAGGAGAGAGCAGCTCGGAATCCGACTCAGATTCCAGCTCCTCCGACTCAGACAGCGACACTAATGATGACCGTGCTAAACGAGCAAATCACGCTCGCCACTCACACGGGCGAGGACGGAAACCTCATGGTGAACACAACCACGCACCTGACTCAAACGAGGATGCGTGTTGCTCAGATCACGGAGCGGCGAAATCGAAGCGCCGAAAGCCAAGTCCAAATGCCTATGAGAAAATGCCCAAACCATCCAAGACCCATTCGCGGGGTCCTTGAATACCTAAATCTGATAGCTGGGGCGGGTGGCAACGAAACCCCGAGGACCACGCACGACTTGTCCGCATGCACATTACCAAAAATCATACATTTTACTTACGCTCCCCAGCTGCAACGGGTCTACGGCATTTGCACAACCCTGGGACAGATACCCCTGTCCGGCGACATGCAGGAGTACAAATGGCATGATCAAGAAGGCAGGGATGAAGACCTTTTCTGATGCTCCCTGGGTTGCACCCGGTCCGTGGAATGATTCCAACGCCACTTGAAGGGCATCACACCACTTGGGCAAATTTAGGGAGCGAATGGCCTTGGCAATATAATGAGAGAATGAATAATGACATGAAATTCTGAAGATCGGCATTGCACGGGTATCTGAAACATAACTCCAACCCGGACTGGTTTATAACGATTGTACATACATGATGGAATAGAGAATTTTGATTTCCTCCAGAAAAAGAGAAAAAAAAAGAAAGAGAAAAGGAAAGGACAACGGCGACCCTCATACCATCATACTTTTTCTTCTTGCCGCGACTCGCTGACCACGCCCTGTTGGACCAGTCGGTCCTACTCCAAATAAGGCCTCGTCCTCTGGAGAATTTCCGAGTTGTCCAGGGGACGGTGGTTCGGTCAGGTCAAGATCATACTGTGCCATGCTTGCGCTCGTACTCTTGGGGTTCGTTGAGTGTCGCCGAGTCTGTCGTCTCGAACTCGAGGTATCTTGCGACACCTGGGCAGAGATATCTGCGATGCTATTCTCAATCTCTTTCTGTAGACCGGAGTTTGGATTTCCGGAATCAACATCGTCTTTCGGAGCCGGCGATACCTTGCGCTTTCGCCGGGACACCATTGCCATTAGTTGCTCAGAAGACCTATCCTGGGAGAAAACATCTGGGTTCTGCTCAACCGAACCAAAATTCGTCGAGAAACGGCCACTGGGTTGTATGTCTTTCTCGTCTTCGCCGTTCAAACTATCCCGACCTGGCTGGAAACTTGACGACCTCCGCGATCCGAGACCAACAGCGTCGATCATTTCCTTAGTTGGACGACGCATCTTGTCTCGTAGATTGGGCTCTGCATAGCTTACTACAGCGCCGCGACGTCGTGAAGGCCGAATTCCTGAGGAATTGTCGGACTCTGCCTCTGCCTTCAAGGCATTGGGGTGAGGTGACAATGCTGGGAGGCTTGGGGCATGTTCTTCCTGTTCGGAGTGGCGACTGGTGCGTTTCTCCTTGTTTGATGAGGCGATGTTGGAAACACGCGGTCTCTGGCTCAAAGACTTTCCTCCGATTTTCTCGACGACCTTGGTCTTGTGAGGCGAGCTTGCGTTCTCATCACCCTTAGTGGATCTTTGTAGAATCTTGGAGTCGCGACCAGAAGATGCCCGAGCCTTTTTCGGGGATCCTAGGTTAGAATTGGAACTCTCTGGTCAACTCGTCAGTGAAAATTCTCATAATAATAAAAGAAACCAAAGAACAGAGGAACATACTCGGTTCAAGGACCTTCCGCTTAGGAGATCCAAGGTTTGATGATCCTTTTGTTATTTCAATATTGGTCTTGACAGGCGACTCAACATGACTCTTGATGGGCGACTGGTCTCGTCGGGTGGGCTCGAACGGATCCATCTGCTTCTTTGGGCTACGAGTCGGTCGCCTGAATTGGAATTCATCATCTTCAATGTCGATGGTCGAGGATAATTGGTCATCTTCTTCGGGGCAGAACTTCCGCTTAGAGCCCGATATTTTGAGGTTTTCTGGGTCGTTGCGCGGGCTTGTAGGCTGATTTGTGTCTGCGGTGGCCATTTCAAGGGCGGCAATCGAAGTCGACTTCTTTTTCTTCTTGCGAGTCTCGAGGGTTGGGGGAAGTACTGGCTCGGGTTCGGGCTCTCCAGGAGAATCATCATCCACTAGGGAATTACAGGTTGTTTCCGGTGGCGAGGGACTTGAATTTTGGCTGCCTGGTTCTTCGTGGTCCTCCATCAAACTGGGCTCTCGCGGCGAATCAAAAATGCTCTGGTCCTCGTGGACCATGTTTTCAAGCTCCTGGGGCCTTAAATAAAGTTAGCAATTGGCCGATAACTAGATTCGAAGGGTAGATGCTTACTCCAAGGTCCGTCGTGGGTAATATTTGTCCTCCACAATGGCGGGGAGTCTTCCATCATCATATCCCAAGCTGTGTTGGTTTCTAAGTCTTGACTCTGCCACTTTTGGCCGATCGGACTGTTCATCCCACATCTTATCCATTTTGCGGGGCAAGGAGCCCAGGTCCGTTGCCAAGCTGCTGAGTTCCGCCAACTTGGCATCTAACTTGGATTTTATATCGTAGATCCCATCGTGGAGCGTTTTTGCTGCCTCCAATCTCTCCGTCTCTTGGGTGAGGTTGATGACCTGTTTGCGAAGCAGTACATTTTCCGACAGTAAATGCGACACCTCAGACTCCAGGCTGCGGATGCGAAGAGATTGCAGAGAGTTAACTCGCGCTATCTCACGATTTTGTCGCACAAATCGACGCTTTACTATAGGCAAAAGAAAAACCATCACGCGTCAATTTATAGCTCAAACGAACAAAGATATGATGCGCACTCACAGACATCGATCGACTCGGCCGGAGCCGCGTAGTCATTCAACCGAGCCATGGTGGAGGCTGAGGACAGCGACCACTGCCTAGAGCCGAAAATTGGAGAAAGCCAATGGCCACGGGGTGAATGTAGAGTGAATAAAAGCCGACTCCTATTCTAATTGGAAGGGTGGGCGATTCCAAAATACCGGAGGTTTACAGAGGAGAAAGTAAACAAACGTTGAATGCCACAGTCGTGTTGATGTTTGCCCGCATCGGGCTTAGTGAGATGACTCAGCATCCACCCTCCAGGGCTCTTGTTGATGGCAGCGGGGCATTACGACCTCAGCAGTGACAACTATCACCATGGCATACCCAAGGCCAACTTCGATACTTCCAGGTGCGCCTGGTGGGTCTTCTCTTCGCCAGCCCGGCTCGCAATCGACCTCTCAACAATCATCGGCGTTGTCGGCCCGCATTGCAGCCAAGAAGGCTGAGCTAGAGAATTTACGCCAGCTGCGCGATCTGAGTGGAACACTGGCGACGCAGATGCAAGCTTTGGAAACCAAGGTCTCCACGCTGAATGACGGCACTGAAGGTTATACCCCCTCTGATTCGGTCGGGATGGCCGCTGATTACTTCTAGCTGTTGCCTACGTCTTATCCAACTGGGATAATGTTTTACGAGCTATTACCCTTGCCTCCAGTAAGCCTAGACTTTTCCACCCAACGTTCTCATCCGTACTGATTTCCGTTATCTGTAGAAAAAGCGAGCGGACTTTACGAGCCCGAGCCGGAGAACAAGAATGTGGACATGCAAACCGAAGCTCGCTTGCCGGCAACGCTGGTTCGCATTCCAGCTGAACCACGTGAGAAAACTGGCGAGTGAATCAGCCCGTGGCCTCTGTCTCACTATCTCCGGACTGAGACCCCGGGGCTGAACCTACTGTGGCTGGGAAATAACAAGCGCGCCATCCCTCTGCCGAGTCGGTAGTTCGCATCACGAGAATTCCACTCTGTGCAATGGGGACTGCTTGAGAATGCAGACAATCTGAACAGCTCAGGCCAAAAAGCTAAAAACAGTCCAAATCCCAAAAGTCCCCGGGTATTGGCGCAGATCTGCGGATTTGAGTGGATTTGAGCATGCGGGATGGCTTGCAAATCATGAGAATCCAGGAGCGAAGAGGAGTTCGCACCATGGCATGCAATAAAGTTGGGTTATCTCGAAATGTCGAACAAATCAGAAGTGAACAGTGGAGTAACCGGGTCTATCTTCCCCTCATTGCGACACTTTGAGACTTGAGAGATAGTTAGAATCAACTGCTATGATTGGTGTGTGTATGCAGAAAGGGGGTCTGAGTCTTTTTTTATCAGAGCAGATGACACCAGACGCTCTGATGCCGTCGATCCGAGAGAATGACGATAATTACCAGTTTGAGGGGCCTGCAGCAGTTTAGAAACTAAAATCCATAACCGTGGGGATATGGGGATACCGGGGCCCTAGGTACTCCTTGGCTGTGAGGCCCATGTACAAGGTACCTCCACTCAGGGTACCTTTCTTTTTTCCTGTAAGCGCCCGAAGCACAGCAATTCCCATACACAACGTGGATCCTCCCCCGCAATGCACTTCGGTACCTACATGTCTACATATTTGCTTCCCATTCCAGTGGCATGATCGCTGTGTGACAGTGGATACTGTTTCTGCTTTATTATCTTCTCTTCTTCTTCGTCTCTCTCCTCTCCTCTCTCCTCTCTTCCTTTTTCTATATTCTCTATATCCCTCTTCTTAGAATCTGTCCCTTCACCCCCAATCATGTCAACTGAGTGGTCCTTGGATTTCTGTCTGGTCTGTGACCGACAGACTCTAGGAGCTCCCTACTGCTCCCAAACATGTCGCTTAGCAGAACTGGACTTGGAATCATCAGATGCAATGTCACGGCGATCAAGCCAGGCATCAACACACTGGGAGACTGGTCCTTCGCAGCCATCTGAAGCAAATCCTCGCGCAAATGCCCTACCCTCTCGAATCCTATCGGCCTCATCATCTCAAACCTCCCTCTCTTCTCTGAAGAGCAATGCATCTACTTCCAACGCGGCCGATCGGCTCCAAGATGAGTTACGGGATTATGCCAGTTGCTTCGACCAAGTCCGTGACCTCAAGCGCCGCTTGACTACCACTTAGTGACATCGAGTCAACTTGAAACTCGCGAATCGAAGCGTGTTTCTCGAGCCCAATGACGATACGGCTCAGCTGCATACAGCTCTCATGCTGCACTCAAACAATAATTTGCATAGGAAAGGCGTCAGTGATGGAAAAGATACATTTCCTGTTGTTTTGGGACCCCGCTCTACTTGGACCTATACCCCTCAATTTGTTAAACCTGTTATATATTATCATTGGAAGGAGTTAGAAGTTGTTTTGGCCTTGGGTTTGAATTACTTATATATGTACCAGATTGCCTATAATCAAGACTGGATGAATGATTTTCAACTTGTTGCATTGATATCTGTAGATCATTCTTGAAGCCCAACTCGTTGGGTATGTCATTCCCTGTCAACGTTCTATGTGGGGGGGACCTTGAGGAATGTGTCCGATGCTAACCATCTCGGAATGCTTGGGCTGCAGCAGATGCGACTGGTACCAAGTGTCCTTCTCAGTTTTGGTGAGTCCGGATTCGGCATCCTGCAGGACGTCTAATAATTCGCCAAGTCATGCCATCACGGTCGAGCAAGAGCCTTTGACAGAGCTTTTTCATCCTTCGGCACGAAACGGACCTTGTATCGTGAAGGAATGGCCACCAAGCTGGTAGGGTCCGAATTGCCACGGACCGGATGGCAATCGGTCTTGTCATGAGGTTCGATGCGGAAGCTGTTGAGGGTTCGAATAAATACCAGGTAGAGTTCGCGATTGGCCAGCAATGACCCTGCGCACATCCGATAGCCCATGCCGTAGGTGAAGAGTGGCGCGTCGGGTTGCTCGAGCCATCGCTCGGGTCGGAATTCACCCGGGTCAGTCCACACATCGGGATCTATGAAGTGGTTAGAAGTGAATTATGGTCTGATCAATTAGCTTACCCATGTTGCATGCCCAAGCATTCAAGAAGAATACTGTGCCCTTAGGAATGACAATTCCATTATAGTTGATGTCCCGGATGGAAGTACGGGGTAGGGCTAATCGCAGAACGGTGAAGAATCTAAAAGTTCCGTCAGTTCAACGTTCCAGGATCTGAACCGTGACACATACCGAAGACACTCCTTGACCAAAGCCGCCACATACGCACACTTCTGATCATCCTCAACAGAGCACATAGGCTCATCTTGACCATACATTTCCTGAATTGCCTTAGCTGCCTTGTCTTGAATGTCAGGGCGCTGGGCCAGCAACCCGAGACTCCATGCGACAAGGGTGGTAACAGTATCAAGTCCCCCGGAAAGCATAGTCAAACTGATCGAGGTAAGTTCCTCGCTGTTGAGCTTAGCCTCCTTGTCGAGGATAACGTTCGCCTGTATGCAAGGCTTATGTGTACCTTTCTCCATCCGATCATTTAAATCCCGATTGAGCGAACTCAAGTATCGATCACGACGCATTCTCATCTCGGCAGCCTTTTTGGAATTGGAGCTGAACGGATTCAGGCGAAGGAGAGGGATATAGTCCTGCAGGTTTCCCGTGGTGCTTCGGAATCGACTAATCTCCTCTTCCACATGGGTGATCTCGTCAAACATATCCTCTTCCTGTGAAGCAATGCGCACGCCCCAGTTCAGAGTCAATGCCAGACTCAAACTCAGACGCTGGATCATGGGCATAGGGTCCACAGGTGTCTTTCCCTTGTTTCCATATCTGTGTAATTCTTCCACAAAGGCCTTGGATTCGACGTCCAAGTGTGGAACGTATGTTTCAACCGAGGGACGGTTGAGAGCCGACGCGGCACCTTTTCTACGTCTCTTGAGTGATTCACTGTAGGGCGAGGTGCCGATAGTGGTTCCAGCGGTGTTGGAGAGGATCTAAGACAGCAACAGTCAGTTCCGAGCCTAGTATATATTGAAAAGCACCAACCTTGTGGAAAGTGTAAAACTCCGGCCGCGAACTCAAAGCCTGCGCATTCTGACCGAAAAGCACCTTGGCCGAGGCCGCCGAGTTAACCACGACAACGGGGATATTCCCCAACATGATCTGATAGACAGCCCCATGAGTCTTCGACCAGATGCGATACTGTTCAGCAGCGTTCGTCCGAATCTGCGACAAATTCCCAATCAACGGAAAGCCCTGGGGACCATTCATGCCCTTGATACGGGCCGATGCACGGATGAATTCATTAAGGACAACATAGAGAATAGGAACGACGATAGCGGCCACAGTCAGCGAGTGCCATGGGTACTCGATCACACGGCCTTGCAGGGTTGACAGGGCAGAAGCTATAGCCATGATAAGATGATATGTGAAATCTACATATTACAGGGTCGAGCATGACTATAAGTAACCAGTGACTTGCAATGGATAAATGGAACATTTCCGTTTAGACATGGTTTCCGCCATATCTCGCCTGCTTTACCCCACATTTCCCCAGCTTTGTCTCTCTCTCTTGGGATGCCGGGTTCCGCACTCGGAAGATTTCCGTCTTAGGGCTACCGAGGTGTTTTTATATATTGTAATCTTGAGACATCTGTTGATTGTTTGATTGATGTTTGCAATCCGTACAGTAACTCTTATATATGTACTCCATGTACATATACATCGTGGGTAGGCGCTATATACTTACATTTGTAATATTTTTCTCCTTTTTTCTGAGCTCAAATTTGAATGTGATTTAAGTGGTGTCATTGTACACCTATCCCTTTGGACAGATACGGAGTACAGTGAGTAGACCCATCGAAAGGGATGAGACAGGGTTGCGATCAGGTGTGCCTCTCCTGGACACTCCAATTCCCTCCATTTTTGCCAATGTTCGTAACGTATCATGCGGCTAGCCTGGGAATAGTACTTAAACATTTGGGATAAGTCCAGACCCTGTTCCTATTTAACACTACCGAAACTAGTGACGATCATACCCACCTGGGCCGCAAGGACAATTTTTATTTTATTTTATTTTATCTAATTTCGATTTTATGGACAGAAAGGAAGAGCCTCATATGTGTATGTACGGAGTAGCCACGGACCGGATTGCGGTGTGCCAAACCTGCAAGGTCCAAGTCATGATGAAATACCGAAGTGAAAACCGGAATCCCTGTGGAGTTATAAGGAGAGCTGGGGGACACAAGTCCCTGTGGATCAGATCCAGATGTTCACACGGGGCCCCTGAGCCAGATGGGTCCTCACTTCCACCCTATGAGTGGCTGATATTCATAGAGCTCGTCAGGTGGCCGTGAAGAGATTGATTTCCGAGATATCAAGCCGCTTTACTCGGCTTCCCGAAAGTGTAAGGACACGTTTCAAGGCACATGTACATGTATATCCCTTGCATTCCGAGAAATCTCTGTTCGGAGTAGAAAACCGGAGGAGGAGGTCACAATTGGTGGGAGAAAAGGGACGTCACTGGGAGCTCCACCGAGATCCTCCAATGGTGAGTTGTGTTGGACCCATGACGCAGAGCTTTGCTGTGCTCGTGACCTTGATGGGACTGGAAGGTGTAGCGATCAGGTATTTGCCAATCTTGACCAGGTTCTCTTTTTTTTACTTCTATTCTCCCCCCTTCAAATATTCCCCTTGTCAACTCCCTCTCTTTCTTACACACCTATCTTCTTTCCCTTTATTTGGGAATTCCATCAATTGCGGAATTGTGTCGCATTGAACCTTCTACATAAAAACCACAGATAATGGCCGCTCGGCATTCGCGCAAGTTGTTGAGACCTCTCCTGTACACATCCGCGGCAGCCGCCGCGGGTGCAGGTGTTCTCTACATTTCCTATCGTCCGCGCAATATTCCCGGTCTCGAAGCTCCCGCCGTTCCGCCTCCCGGCTACCGTGAAGGCAAGCTGGTGCCTCCCAGCTTCCCTCAAATCAAGTCTCGCCTCGAACAGATTGAGGATCTCAAGCGCAGTAACCAGGAAGAAGAATATGACCTGTTGGTCATTGGTGGCGGTGCCACTGGATCCGGTATCGCACTAGACGCCGCCACCCGAGGCCTCAAGGTCGCAGTGGTGGAAAGAGATGATTTCAGTGCCGGAACCAGCAGTAAGAGTACTAAGCTGGTACACGGTGGTGTCCGTTACCTAGAAAAGGCTGTTTGGGAATTGGATTACAACCAGTGAGTTTTTCCGGTTGTTTTTTTTTGTAACGAGCTCGGTCGGTCTTGATCGGCTTTCGTCGTATCCGTGCTGATCGCATTGTGTCACAGATATGCGCTGGTCAAGGAGGCGCTCAGAGAGCGCAAGTATTTCCTGAACACTGCGCCTCATCTGTCATCATGGCTCCCGATCATGGTGCCCGTTCAGAAATGGTGGCAGGCTCCCTATTTCTGGGCTGGTACCAAGGCATACGATTTCCTGGCTGGTTCCGAGGGTATTGAGTCCTCGTACTTCTTGACCAAGAGTAAGGCCATTGATGCCTTCCCCATGCTCAAGCGTGACAATGTTATCGGTGCTATGGTGTACTACGATGGTGCCCACAACGACTCGCGTATGAACGTCTCCCTCGCCATGACCGCTGCGCTGTACGGTACCACCGTGGTGAACCACATGGAGGTTACTGGTCTCACCAAGGATGCTTCCGGAAAGCTATGCGGTGCGCGCATGAAGGATGTGATCACCGAGAAGGATGGTCAGAAGGCCGAGGAGTTCAGTATCCGCGCCAAGGGTATCATCAACGCCACTGGTCCTTTCTCAGACTCCATTCGTAAAATGGATGAGCCCGACGTTAAGGAGATTGTCGCCCCTAGTGCCGGTGTCCACGTCATTCTCCCTGGTTACTACAGCCCCTCGAACATGGGTCTGATCGACCCCTCGACCTCTGATGGACGTGTGATCTTCTTCCTGCCATGGCAGGGCAACACCATCGCCGGTACCACCGACCAGCCCTGTGAAATTGAGACCCAGCCCCAGCCCACCGAGAAGGACATCAACTGGATTCTTTCGGAGATTCGCGGCTACCTGGCCCCCGATATCACTGTGGACCGCAGCGACGTTCTTGCCGCCTGGTCTGGTATCCGTCCCCTGGTGCGCGACCCCAAGGCCAAGAACTCCGAGTCCCTGGTCCGCAACCACTTGGTGACTGTCTCCCAGTCTGGACTTCTGACCTGCGCTGGTGGCAAGTGGACCACATACCGCCAAATGGCCGAGGAGGCCGTGGACGAGGCTATCAATGTTTTCAAGCTGAAGCCCCGTCAACTGACTACCCTCCCCGATATCTCTGGTGTTGGTGGCAGTGGCCTGGTGGCTGACGGTGCCGTTCTCGACGGCAGCTGCCAGACCCACCAGGTGCGCCTGATCGGTGCTCACGGTTTCTCCAAGACTCTCTTCATCAACCTTATCCAGCACTTCGGTCTCGAGACCGACGTGGCTAAGCACCTTACCGAGTCCTACGGTGACCGCTCATGGCAGGTCGCCGCTCTGTCCTCCCCAACTGCTGAACGTTTCCCTGTCCGCGGCCGCCGCCTCTCCCCCTTGTACCCCTTTATTGACGGAGAGGTTCGCTACGCTGTCCGCCATGAGTACGCCCAGACTGCCGTCGATGTGATCGCTCGTCGTACTCGTCTCGCCTTCCTGAACGCCGAGGCTGCCCTTGAGTCTCTTCCCGGCGTGATTGACCTGATGGGTGAGGAGTTGAAGTGGTCCACCGAGCGCAAGGATCTTGAGTGGAAAGATTCCTTGACCTACCTTTCCTCCATGGGTCTGCCCAAGAGCTTCATGGGTCTCTCGCGCCACGATGTCCAGGACGGCCGTGTCAAGCAAGTTGATGACAAGGAGCGCGCTACTTTCTCCCGAGTTGGTAAGTTGCATCCCATACATTCCTACTATAGATAACTGTACTAACTATATCCAGAACCCCCTGCGGACATGATCGAGAGTGATGCTCGCGCGACAACCCCCGCTCCTCCGGCTGTCGTAGCCAAATAGATAATTTGTGGTATATATAGATCGGGCTTTGTATAAATAGAAGCGTTTTGTTTTGTTCCTTTTTGTTCTGGTTGTTCTCCTTCTTCCCATCTTGGCCCGCGGTTGCCCGAATCGAATATATTTCACACGGAAGCTACGACTGCCGTAGTTTCAACTTCCAGCTTCCAGCTTCCAACTTCCATTTCTCTCCCCATGAAGCTTGTATCCCATTCATCCCATCATGGAGCTGCACAATCAGTCTGATCTTAATCCATCTGAATCCGTGCACAAGCTGGATAATTTGCAAAGCGAGGAAGCTATTTTGCCAAAGACAGGGCCGGAGAAAAAGGATCCCTTTGGAGATGAGAGCCAGACTGGTGTGAAGTACAAGACCATGGCTTGGTGGTGAGTGCCTTTCTGATGGCTGACAATGAGAGAAGCTCATTCGTTTCATAGGCAAGCCGGCATGAGTAAGTTGATCAGTCCCGGAGCCTTGGGTGACTTGAACTGACCCTGCCAGTCATGATTGCGGAGACCATATCGCTTGGGGTTCTCTCGCTGCCAAAGGCACTTGCCACACTAGGTCTTGTTCCGTACAGTTCCTCTCCCCAGTTGATAGAGACTGAGCTAACCTGTCTAGGGGCATCCTGACCATCCTCGCTATCGGAGTCATCTCGACATATACCGCATACACCATTGGGCAATTCAAACGCCGTCATATGCAGGTTCACAGCATGGCTGATGCTGGTGATCTCCTGATTGGAAGAGTCGGACGCACGACACTTGACATTGCTCAGCTTGTCTTTTTTATTCTGGTCATGGGGAGCCACGTCCTCACCTTTTCGATCATGATGAATGTCCTCACCGAACATTCTTCCTGTACTGTGATCTTTTCCGTTGTTGGTTTACTAGTATCATTCTTGCTGACCCTTCCACGGCGACTTGAGAAGCTTTCTCACATCTCCTATGTGAGCTTTGTCAGTATCATTGGAGCGGTAGTCACAGGCATGATTGGAGTCGCTCTTGTCAAGACAGGATCTACTCATACCCCAAGCTTTTCGTCCAAGCCCAAAGTGCACGATGCATGCCTTGCTGTTGCAAATGTCATTTTTGCATACGCCGGTCATGTTGCATTCTTCACACTCTTCTCGGAGCTCAAAGAGATCAAAGACTTTCCCAAAGCTCTCGCGCTGCTTCAGTTGAGTGAAATGGTCCTGTACACGGTCTCGGCCATTGTGATATATGTACACGTTGGACCTGCTGTCGCCTCGCCCGCTCTCAATTCTGCAGGGGACTCGTTTCGCAAAATTTCTTATACCATTGCACTTCCTACGGTATGCACATTCCTGAAATCTGTTCGAATTGAGCTGACATTTGACTCAAGATTGTGATTGGGGGCGTGGTAAATGCCCATGTCGCGGTCAAGTTCATATATGTTCGTGCTTTCCGAGGGACCAGCTCGATACACAGTCAGTCATTCATGACACGAGCTGTGTGGGCCATGATCTGTGCGGTGCTTTGGATCTTGTCCTGGATCATTGCCGAGGGGATCCCAGTCTTCAACGATGTACTAGGGCTTGCCGTGTGTACTGCCTATCCACTTTCACGCAAGAGCAACGAGTACTGACGATTCCTACCAGAGCTCCTTGTTTGCTAGTTGGTTTTCTTTCGGCTTACCCGGGCTCTTTTGGCTCTATTTGAATCGCAGCTGTTGGTTCCTGACCTGGAGACAGACTATTCTATTTTGCTTCAACATCTTCCTCGTGTTTCTTGCATTCTTGATTGTGAGTGATTGCCTATGACTGACGAATGAAATAAACTTACGCCACCAGTGCATTATCGGGTTGTATTCGTCCGTTCGGTCTATCTTTCACAACATACGAGAAGGAGTTGCGGGAGGCAGCTTTTCTTGTGCCGACAATTCGCTATACTGAGGACACCCAGGCATGGAAGCGAATTTTGGAGAGGGGGGATTTCGGAACACAGCATTAGCGTTGCAGGTACGAGGAACATACAAAACCAGGCGAACTCTTCAGTATATGAATAAATTAGGTTCTCCTGGTACACAGTTCCACTGCATTCAGACGTAGCCGGCGCGCAACTAGTTTCCCTAGCCGAGACTTGACCGGCGTCTATAACGGCCAAGGCTGTGCGGCAATCCGATATCACCCCAATCCTTGTCCCCTCGGAGCAAAGGTAAGCAATGCCCCCTTTCAGATAAACCTCATTTGGAGAGAAAGAACATAGGCTTTGTGCAATTGTCTTTTTAGGTATGTACAGTAAATTCCGAGTTTCCCCCTGAGAGTTGGAGATATTACATGCGGGTGGTACCGACGCGGCACTAAACAATGACTCGCAGTAGGGCCCCGAGACTACTTTAGGCCTCGGAGATTTGCTAACATTTGTCACACGCATACCCGGCAAATCTGGTACTTTTGTTCAATTAATAATACGTTAATTAAAGAAAGGGCTTCCGCAATACCCGTACATCATGCAACAGCTCCTATTCCAGACTCTAGAATTAATTATCGTTAATTAGATCGTATTTTTAGGCCTTGATAAACAAGAACTCATATATTGGGCCCCCTCTTTTGCAAGGCGTAGAAGCCCGACGCATGTATTGTGTCCCAATCAAAACAGGGATCCGAACACCCCTTGACGTATTCCCTGTACAAAAAATGCTCGCTCACAGGAAGACAAGGGGAGCGCAAGGTATACATGCATACCCCCGCCACCTCGCCGGCCTGTACAACCTGCGAGATGGCAACGTGACCAGGAAACGGTTCCTTCAATTTGCTGAGGATATCACTGGTCGATCCCGGTGATCCAATAGCAAATGCCAACTTATCCTTTTCCATCCATCCAGAATTGAATTGTAGAAGACTGAGGTGGTGTCGTGCGGGTTTCACAGGGGCAAATAAAATGATACCCGGGGGTTATGTACTGCTTGCTCGATTCCTGGGCTGGATGGGTGCCCATGCAGTAGATTCAGAGAGAAAGAAGTGCGGTGGAGGTTGCAGATGCAGTACATCGGGCGCATAGGAACCACGTTCTCTCTCTCTGCATCTCTCATGACGGTGAGCAGGGTCGAGAGGGCCTCTCCGTGAAGAGGGAAAGAAGACATAGAACATCCTTTCAGCCAGTTCAGACATCATATACCGGTGTAGATAATGTTATTCCCAGCTATTTCTTGCTACCATTGGAATCGTTTCCTTGATAATTATTCCAGAAACGAGCCACAGCTGTTTGAGCGACGGGGCCCGTGTATTCATCCCGGTATAAATTGAACAGGGCGAACTCGTCTGAGCTGAGAAGGTAGCTATCTGGCTGGGCCTGCATCCGAGCCCACAGTTCGGCCATGACGGTGTTCAGTAGAACTCTGGTTGGAGGGTCATCTCTGCAGTCCCGAGCGTGTTCTAGGGCCTGACGAATTTCCACCCAGCTTCTCGACAGCGGTGGATTGGACATATCGTAACAGATTCGAGGGCGTCGGCGCAAGGAATCGAGGTGATCTTCCCTTTGGGTGGGGAATTGGGGGATAGAGGAAAGATAAAAAGAGGAAGACGCGCCGCAAGGGCTCGACTAAAAGGAAAGAAGATTTCCGAGCGGCAGAAGTGAAACTCTGCAGGCCCGGAAAAACTGAATCTTTTCAATAAATAAATGGGGAACCGGGGTGGAGCAACGGGAGAGGGGAGGGGGGAAACCCGGGCCAGTGGACCGAAACCTATGTTCATATGTTCATAGAGTGTGACATCCAAAGGCGGATATGCCTCTGTGGCAGGTCAGGAACAGGGTCGGGATTCCCGGGTCGGAGATTGGCAGTGGGAAGCATAAGGAACCAGAAGGGATATCTTCCCACCCTGGGAGAGAAAGGGAACACATAAGGCCGAAGGTGGGGTGTAGTTTGCGGGCTCGCCCGTGGCAGGGAATGTACCTTGTATCTTGGCGTAACGGTTTTCTCGGACAATTTAAGGGATGAACCGGCATGATTCGATGAGGTTCAACGGCCAGGGTCGCTTAACGCCGTAGACCAGCCGAGAGCACCAATTGGGCCCCTGGAGGGGAGTGTGGCTCCCCAGCAAATGTCCGGTGCATCAGTTAGGTGGAGTTTGAGGCTCGTGGGACTTCATTCCCGGAGCTAGACATTCCAATCAGTGCCGATATAAACACTTAGTCCACTTGGATTCCCACTGAATCATGCATTCGGAATATTCCCATTGGTGTAGGGTCTCGGGCCGGTGACCTCACTGGGCCATCTTGAAACAGCTGCTTGGAGCCGACCTGGATATAGACTCGCTTCCGAGACACGCAATTTTCTTCTCGGAGGCCGTGAACTTTTTGCTTGATCCCACAAGGGGTTGTTCGTCCGAAACAAAAGAGCGGTGCTCCTCCGGAAGATCGAAATTTGCAGGGACCCATGTTGCTCCGTAATAACCTCATGGAACTCCGGCCGGCTGTTTTGCCCTTCTCTTACAATCATCGGCCTATCACTCTCGGGGCGACGCATTTCAACAGACGCAGATGCAGGCGCAATTGTGCACGGTGACTGAGATTTGGTTACATCGCCATTTCCCGGTTAATTGGAGTCAAAATTCATGTTAGTTGAGCAGATCGTGAGGATCCCGATGCCTCGTGTCGAGGATCCGATCAAAGAGCTGTCGAACGAGGCTAGGCCATCGTTGAGAGGATCGCGATCAGCAAAGCCTGAACCTCCCCAAGTTGTGAGGAGGCGAAGAAATGTGCCTGAGGTCCACAAAGGTGCAACTCTAAATCGGCCAACTTCCGGGGATCTCCCGGCTTCACTTCCTCTTTCTCTTTCGGCGTCTTCATGGCCTTTTTACCATTTCAAATTGGTCCCTCCAATCGAGCATATTTAACTAATACACAAAGCAAGGTTTCGCTTCAATTGTAACATCAATCTAAATATTAAGAACTATCAGGCTCGCCCGAATACGAGGTCCCATGTTCTATTTGCGGCCATTGACCTCCCATAAAGGCCTGGAAAGACGACTGGTAGACTCGTGGAAGACAATCGATATGAAGGATTCGCATCCTGCAAGCCAAGGCCCATTGAAATATGGGGACAGACGCAATGGAACGGAAAAGAAATCCTTCTGCTCACTGCAAGACGCAGAAACCAACCCTCAGATCGCCGCTAGCAGAATTGATCTGTCCGTCCAATCTGCGCCACTTTCTCTATCTCTCGCGCATCGCAAGTACGTGACTTGATCATGCGTGGGGTATCTCTGAGCTCATGAGCTCCTGTCGACAAGTATTGTCTGGGTGCTCCTTACTTGTGTCAACTTTTGCTTTCCTTAGTGCAGTTTGAACCCTACCAAAGACTAAAATCGAACTGAAACACCACCAATCACGCTCTTCTACTCCGTATGTAACTACCAAATGAATCAGATCTATACGGATGACTAAGCTACAGATAGACCGATAATCGTTCCCCCCACGAATATTCGAACTTTTGACTACCAATTGTTACAGGGACATCTGAGACTGGAAATTGCCGCCATGGTCTACTACTTCACATCCAATGTGGTCTCTCCCTCTGCCTTTATCTATGTCGGCAAGGACAAATTCGAGAGTATGCCACCGACTGGTCTTCCCGGGGAAACTTTCTAACGTTGCCAGATGAGGATCTCATTCAATATGGTTTGGACAACGACGTTTGGTATGATAGCTGTTACCTATTTGCAGAACTTTGTCACTGATACACTTGTGCAACAGGGTTAGTCTCTTTCTCCCACATGCGCTGCCACCCCTAATACGTCGTACCTTTACAGTTCCACGTCGATAATTTGTCAAGTGCACACGTCTACGTACGCCTTCGCGAGGGCGAAACGTGGGACAACATCGCTGAGCCGCTTCTAGAGGACTGTGCCCAGCTCACAAAAGCGAACTCCATTGAAGGTTAGCCCTCCACATGAGCCTTAGCGTCTTGGCCACGGAATCTGACATTGGAGGCAGGCAACAAGAAGGACAACATTACTATTATCTACACTCCCTGGTCAAATCTTAAGAAGGACGGATCGATGGCTGCCGGCCAGGTCACATTCCACAATCACAAGCTGGTCCGCAAGGTCTACGTGAAACAGCGTGAGAACGTTATCGTCAACCGGCTTAACAAGACCCGGGTTGAGAAGTTCCCTGATCTTCGAGCTGAGAAGGAGGAGGATACGAAGAAGAAGCAGCGTAGTGACCGCAAAACACGAGAGGAACTACGCGCAAAGGAGAAGCAGAAACAGCGAGAGCATGAGCAGCTGAAGTGGCAGAAGGATCATGCGTACGACGATATGTTCAGCGAGGAGAACATGGAGGCTAGCAACAACCAGGATCGCGACCCTGATTTCCTTGACGACTTCATGTGATGCCCTCGAGAGATGACCGTTGTGCCACCATTCAATGTGAAAATTATACCCTGCTTGCGAAGTGCAAATCTCAAAATGGTCTCTTTCTGGAGCCCAAGGATATGACAAATGGAATTTAGTGTAGATATAACTTCTCAATAACAATGCCCAATTGCGCATGATTGGCGAATCTCCTTGTCATACTATAGATGAAAGCTGCGTACCATCCGGAGTAAGTAAGTATCGTGGACACGGAGCAAATGTGCAGTGATCAATTCACTAAAGGTGACACCCAATTCAATTGAACCGAAAATGAACCCGGGGGAAACACTGGAGAAAGTCCAGTCTGGGCAACGAAGTAAAACAAGGGGATTAATCATCGCCGGGAAGGGCCAGCCGCGCTAGCGTGTTGACAGCTTGCGAACCTTAGGAACTCACCATCTCCCCAACACCACACAGCATGACTGAGGGCATTCCACCGACTGTCGCTCCAAGTAAGTCCATTCCTATCATTGAACTGGAATCCGCTGACCCCGCTCAAAGGCGCCAAATCGAAGAAGAGCAAGAAGAAGAGTGCCAAAGCCAAGTCCGACCCCCAAACTAGCGAGCACCCAGATGCGCCAGATCATGATGACACGAATGTATGTGGCGTACGACTCCTGATTGGCAGCGTACCTGTTGCTGAGACCTTTCCCAGAATGAGCCCCATGATGCCAGCGCGGTCCCCATAGAAGACGAAGAACAGGAATCCAATGGCGTCGAACCCGACACGATAGGTGACAGTCTGCCGGATCGGTCTGTGAATAATAATCAGTCAACTGCTGCCGGTGACGCTATTCCCACCCCCAATAAACAGTCCGACCCCGCCTCCGATGGCACCGAGCCTAAGGACCGATTCGATGCACTTGTCCGAGACCGCGACTCCTTACGCGCAGAAGTTGCCGACATGCGAAAATCATTGGAGGAAATACAATTCAAGCACACTGCGGACATGGAGGCGTTGCAGGCGAAGTTGGACAACGCTGAGACCAAGAAGGAACATGCTGAAACGCAGTTCCAGAAGCTCATGGAACGAGTGAACACGATCAAGTCACAACTAGGAGAGCGACTCAAGGAGGATGCGGTACGTTCAACTACCTTCAATTCTAGGACCACTCGACTCATTCTATACAGGAGGAACTGTCTCAAGCGCGATCGCAAATCGAGGATCTCGAAGATGAGAACAGCAGCTTAAAGGAGCAGCTTGAATCCAAGTCTGCACAGCTCGCTGAACTTTCGGGCGATTCAGCAGAGAAGGACAAGGAGCTGTCAACTCTCCGGGATCGAACGAGTCTATCACAGCAAAACTGGCTAAAGGAGAAGGAAGAACTCCTCGAGCAAGAGGCGTACCTGCAGTCAGAATTTGAGCAAGCAAAGGAGGCAATGCACAACTGGGAAGTGCTAGCTATGGAGGAGCGATCTATCCGAGAGAACCTGAACGAAAAGGTCGGAGACCTGGAGGAGCAGCTCGGTAGCCTGAGAGATGCATATGAAAAAGCCACCGATGAACGCGACACCCAACAGTCGACAGTTGACGGACTACAACGGGCTCTACAGGAAATCCAATCGGCACGAAAGCAGGAGCTGCGGGAGCTTGTCGAAAGCTCCGATGCCCAACTTGAAAACCTGAGACGCTCCTTGCGCGAAGCACAGAAGCAGGCCGCAGATGCCGACAAGGGTCTACAGAATGCCCAGGAAGAGATCGAGAGAGTCCGGCCATTTGAGAAGGAGGTTAAAGAGAAGAACCTTCTCATTGGCAAACTGAGACATGAAGCAGTCACGCTGAACGACCACCTGACGAAAGCTTTACGATTCCTGAAAAAGGGGAAACCAGAAGACAATGTCGACAGGTTAGCTCACAGGGCAATTGAGACTTGACCAGCTTGACTGACTATAAACAGACATATTGTCACCAACCATCTACTGCATTTCCTCGCTTTAGATAGATCTGATCCAAAGAAGTTCCAAATCTTGCAGCTGTTTGCAGCGCTATTGGGCTGGAATGATGGTAAGCCCATATTGCACACGAGAGCTACTTGAGCTACTCGAGCGTATCTAACTTTTGATTATAGAGCAACGTGAACAAGCAGGCCTTGCCCGGCCAGGCACATCGAGTATGCCCGGGAAGCTTCGAGTCCCAGGCACACCCCTGCGCACCCCGAGCACGCCAAACCTGGCCACAGACTTCATGGATAACGGTGCCTCTAGCAAAGAGACGCTGGCCGAACTATGGTCCAACTTCCTGGAGCAAGAAGCAGAAGCGGGTAACATGAATACAACGAGACGAGGAAGCCACCCAGGGCCTCCTAAGTCTTAAACCATGTGTATGTATAAATGGGACAGCTCTCAAGCGATAGAACTTGGATATTGATATTTAAAACTTGCCCTGATCTGTAGATCCACCGCCTTCATTCTGCCGGATGTTTTCGTAGCCGCATCTAGAAATCCAGCGCTGTCGCATTCTGTCTCCGTATGCATTTTCCCTCATATTTCCGTGCCATTTCAGCGTCAATTAGATCGTTCAACCCTGCCGCACGTTTTGTATCCGCAATGGCTCCTAGTGCTGGTAAGCGACCTATGCTTCATGGCCATAGACATGGCTATGGAACCCCGCCACTTGAACGATGCTAACATCACCAATGATCCAGTCCAAAAGTTTCGCCCAGTCGTGGTCTCTGGTCCCTCGGGAACTGGAAAGTCGACTCTCCTAAAGAGACTCTTCGCTGAGTACCCTGACACTTTCGGATTCTCTATTTCCCGTATGTGAACCTCCCAGGCACATGACCCAACCTAGTGCCGAAAGAAGCGAAAGGCCCTCGACAAGGCATTGTGAACAAGAAAACTGACCAGGCCACTCCCATAGACACTACTCGCGCACCCCGTGCCGGCGAAGAGGACGGCCGCGAATACAACTTCACCACAAAGGAAGGATTCCTCGACCTCGTCGCACAAAACGGATTCATTGAGCATGCCCAGTTCGGCGGCAACCACTACGGCACAAGTGTGCAAGCTGTGAAGAACATTGCGGAAAAGGAGAGAATCTGTATCCTCGACATCGAGATGGAGGTATGTATTGAATAGAGGGAGTTGCCACCCACTATATCTTCCGCTTGGATCTGGATAAGCTAACGACATATCATTCTTGTACATAGGGTGTCAAGCAGGTGAAGAAGACTGATCTCAATGCCCGATTCTTGTTCCTGGCGCCGCCTTCGTTGGAGGAGCTGGAGAGGCGCTTGCGGGGTCGGGGTACGGAGACCGAGGATAGCCTGCAGAAGCGTTTGGCGCAGGCGCACAACGAGCTTGAGTACTCCAAGCAGGAGGGTGCTCATGACAAGATCGTTTTCAACGATGATCTGGAGAAGGCGTATTCGGAGCTGCGCGATTGGGTTGTTGACGGTGGTCGTTTTGGAGCATCGCAATGAGAAAGAGCACTCATTGCTGCTTGATATTTGATCTATATTGCATTGCCATTTACTCCTGCTTATAGCGAAAGAGGCACCATTCTATCCAAGAATTAAAAGTTTCTCATGAGGTTAATTAAGAAAACTAAGTACATGGAAAGCACCAGAGTTGGCACAAGCGCTAGAGTGCCAAGTCTTTTTTCCCCGAAAATACAAAATCCTAGACAAGGAAAGGAAAAGGGCTCCCAAGAAGAAACAAGATGGGATGTTGGATACAAACATGGAGATGAAAACGATAGCGCAAAAGAAAAAGGGATATCTGCAAGGGCCTGCTGGCGTCAAAGAGGACAGTAAGTTTTCGGAGGAAGGACAGCCTTGCCCGTGGGGTCTGCTTTCCGTGGCGCAACGGTCAGAGTGCTGGCGTCAGATATTAACACTCAAGTTTAGTATCCGTTCATAGCGGCACGCTGCGAGTTGCGGCTAAGCTCACGGTCAGCCGAAGGGCTGATGGGCCGGCTGCCACCAGTGTGGCCACCTCCACCGCCAGCACTGCTCTCCTTCAGGGCCAGCAACTGCTTGGCACGGAAGGTCTCGTAGTGGATCTGGCTGGTAGTCTCGACCAGATCCTGAAGGTGGGTGCGGGTCAGGAAGTTGCGCAGGTAGACAAATTCACAGTGGTTTTCGTCCTCGACGTTGATGACACCCCAGCGGTTCTGGCGGCCGCGAACCTGCTTGCCGTTGACAACAATAGTCTTCTCACTACCGACAACCGAGAAAGGAATGATGTCCTGGAGTCCGGAGTCAATATCAGATCCAAATTAATCCACCAATGTCAAGCATACCTTGATCTGGGCGTTAATAGCCCGCTCCTCATCATCGAGCTCGTCATTATCATAAGGGTACATCTTCAGGTTGTGGAAGGAGAACTCCTCCTTGATACGCTCCTTGAAAGCCTGGCGCTCCTCCAGGGTGAGGGAGTCGGACTTCGCGATAACGGGAACGACGTTGACGACATCGGACAGTTTCTTGAGAACAACAATATCGATGGGCTTGAGGCTATATAGAAGTCACAAATTAGTCCAATCGACTAGCAAATAACCAGAAAAGTTGCGGGATAAGCTCACGCATGACCAGAGGGCTGAATGAAGAACAAGCAACAGTGGATACGGGTATCTTGGATGTAACGCTCACGCTGAGCAGTGAGTTCCTTGCGGAGGTATGCCGAGTGCTGATCCTTGATGTACTTGACGATAGGGTCCCAGCTGCGGCACAATTAGCGTAGTCCTGAAAGATTCGCGCGAGAGCTCAAGATACCATCGGTCGTTGTTGACCTGGTCACCGTAGCCAGGTGTGTCGACAATGTTCAAGCGGAGACGAACACCGTTCTCCTCGATGACTAGACACCCCTTTAGCGATTTTCCTCCCAAAGCAGGTTCTCAAGATCCAAGACATACTGTGCGACACGGTCTGAATTTCGGTAGTAGAGCGAACGGGCTCAGAGGGGGTCAGACGGCCCTTGGAGTCGATCAGGTGGGACGCGAAGATAGTGTTGACAAGGGTCGATTTTCCGAGACCAGTTTGGCCTAACGCGCGATTTTCGATTAGCTGAGGCCTTGGTGACTCGCAGATGAGCATCACGTACCAACACACATGACATTGAACTGGAAGCCGCGCTTCAACAGCTTCCGTTCGATTTGGGAAGTGATGCTGTCGAAACCGACATGGCTATGGGGGAAAACAGTGGGCTGCTGAGCCGAAGCTGCGGTAGTAGCGGCGGCCATTATGAGTGGTGAATAAGTGAAGAACGAAAGACAGAAACAAAAGAAGCCCCCAGAGATGCCAAAGAGTTACTCCGGGCAAGTATCACCCCTTATTCTGTACTTTCCACTCAGGGGTGGGCTATGCCTAATCGGGCCTAGCGTGTCTCTGGAGAAAACTACGATCTCTTTTGCTTCACTGTGATAGCTCGACTAGTACGAAGTATACCAGCCGCTTTCTTCTCTTTCGCTTTTCGCCTGTCGCCATGGCTCTGCGCCTGTTCCCTTTCGCCCCTGTGGCCAATATGTCACGCTCCCTTCTCTCAGAATCGGTCCCTGTTTCCGGATTCACTCGGTTCCTTCAACCCATCGCGACCAGCGCTCTCCTACAACCCGTCTCAATTTCCCTCAACATCCCAGGAATTCTGTCTGATCTGTGGGAATCTGTCTTGCGCGCTGTTCCTAAGAAGAAGACCTCCCACATGAAGAAGCGTCATCGCCAAATGGCCGGCAAGGCGCTTAAGGATACGACCAACCTCGTTAAATGCCCTGGCTGTGGTCAAGTCAAGCGGGCCCATCTTTTGTGCCCACACTGCGTCAAAGGTGAGGAGTCTGGTTCGACTGCTACGGAACACCTAGGGTGTTGGTGATCGCAGAGAAAGCTGACTTAGTGAACAGACATCAAGGAGTCGTGGAAGGTCCTGGAGACCGCATGAGGTGCTACGGACAGGATATAAAGGCTTGAGCTGGGTTTGAACGACCTCGCGGTCTCAATTGCAAGCCCAAGGGGTGATTGTACTACTAGAATTGGTTGTGGATATATGCTGCATGGCAAATGGCGTCTGGTTTTGCGGGGAAAATCTTTTCGATATGACTTTACAACAATCGATCAAATAGATCGGATAACAACACTGTGAGATTTCCAATGTAGATAGGAGCCGTCGTAAACGTGTTCTTGACCCAATTGAGACCGCACTTGTAGATGTAGTGTTGATTGTGCTGTAGCCGATAAAGGCGGAAACGGCCTTCGCGAGACCCCAAACGTCATTTGCTCCTACAAATACGCGTTAAGTCTCAACCCAGCTCTAAGAGAGCCAGGCATTCCCAGAATGGTGAGTCTTCTGCAGGAGGGCTTGATCCCATTGCTAACCCTGATATAGTCGAAACAATATCTCTCGTGGGGTGCAGCGGACAATGGTGGGCAATATTGACCCCGTCCATCTGAATTTGGCTAACTTGTCCCCAGCGCACTCTGTTGATATTTTCGCACTGGCAGTAACAGACAAGCAAGTCTTGTCGGTGTCGGGCTCTCCTTCTATCAAAGTGCACTCCACTTCGGACACTGAGTTCCCGCTGGTGCAGTCCATCGATGATGCCCACGAGATTGGGTGCCACCACATCGTAACCGATGCTAGAGGCTCACGCGCGATAAGTGCTGGATTCGATGGTAAAATCAAGGCCTGGTCTTGCCAGGATGGCTATTGGGTTGCCGACCAAAAAGTGATTGGTACATCGAGTTCCTGATTTTGCTGTGATCCCCCTCAATATGCTAATGAGTACATAGCCGATCTCAAGGCGGTTGATCTTTGGGCCATAGCCCTTTCTGAAGATGGACAGTACCTTGCTGGTGTCACCAAGGATGGACGCATCAATGTATTCGATTTGGCTGCTGATGGTACTCAAATTCGAGACCACGAGACAAAGGGTAGCTTCGGCTATTGTATTGACTTGGTAAGTCCCAAAATTCTGCACTATCTCTGTGTTTCAAGCTAATCCTATTGTCAGTCTGCCAATGGCCGGTTCATCGCTACTGGTCATGAAAACGGTGCAGTCTATATCTTTACTACTGAAACAGGGCGCATGCCGTTCTCCCTATCAGGTGCGTGAATACGCTTCAACTACTCAGAGCACCCGTTTCTGACTGATTCTAGGCTTAGTCAAACCCGTACGAAGCGTAGCCTTCTCGCCTGGAGGAAAGATTCTGGCAGCAGCTGGCGACTCCAAGGTGATTGTGCTTTACGACACCTCCTCGGGAGAACAAATTGCCAACCTGTCCGGCCATTCTGGCTGGGTCTTGTCCCTTTCTTGGAGCAACACCGGTGAATATCTTCTGAGCAGGTGGGTTGGCCCTTTTTTGCACTGGCATGATTGACACGCTAACGTCGCAAAGCTCGTTCGATGGCAAGGTTAAAGTCTGGTCCATGGAGACCAAGAACTGTGTTGCTACACACTCCGAGACAGAGAAGGCCGTGTGGAGCGCCAAGTGGCTCCCAAAGATCGGGAAGACAGAAGGGTTTGCGACTGCTGGCGCGAACCGAAGCATAGCATTTTACCGCGAGGCCACAGGCTAAATGAGCACCTTGAAATGTTTGAAAGAATTGTTAATACGGCGACAATGCGCTGACGATATCAATGGACCATAGGCATGACTACTGAAATATGCATAAAACTCATAACATTCGTACTGGAAACAAGTACCGAAACGCCCCAAACCTAGCTCTTAGTTCATAGCCTCAACAAACAACTTGCGCATTCGCTTCAAAAATGCCCCAAAGTCTCGATCATCATTAACAAGATCAACCACACCTTCCAAAGCATTTCGGTCAACCTTGGGGCGTGTATGGAACACCTCGTAATCCCGGCTGGCAGTGCCCAACTCAAACCAAGCTTCCGCCTCCCAATCTTTCTCCAACAAATGGCTGTAAACAAACTTGAGTCTGTCTTCCCGACCCGCACCTTCAATCCGTATACACAGATAGTCCTGCCAGAACTCCAGCTCCGGGAAATTCAGACGAGATTGAGCGTCCAACTGTTGTGCATGTGCCTTTTGCGCTTCGAGCTTTACGTTGATAGCCTTCTGAGTCTCTGCGATCTGCTGCTTCAGGCGGTCGCGCTTGGTGAGGCGGGAATCACGTTCCAGGGTAATAGAGGAGATGGCGGCATGCATTTCAGCAGCCTCGGCCGCTTCTTTCTGAAGAGTCTGTTCATGGGTTTGAGATTTCAACGTGAGAATTTCAATGTCGCGTTGTCGCATCCGCTCGTCCTCTACAGTCCTGGTTAGTCGTGGGAATAAGAAGGACGAAACGGCTTATCATACCTTCAAGTTCAGCCAGGTTGATATGGAACTGATTCCGTTCTTCCAGGACTTGCTTTCGGCCTCTTTCAATAAATGCATCGAATTTGATTGTAAATTGGGCCATGCGATTGCGCAGGTCCTCGAACCCAAAGTTGATGCTGGGCAGCGAGTCTGCCATTGATGGCGCATCGGCCGAGGCAAGTGGTGGGCGCATGCCACTTGTTGAAAGAGACGGTTCAAAAGCCATGGTTTGCAACACACTGTTCACACTGTGCAAAAGGATGTGAGGTTGAAGTTGACGCGCGAGGGTGTTTTGGGTTGCGGCGCAACGGGGCCCAAGCGTCTTATCGATAACAGAAAACTTCCTGGATCGCATCTGAACCTCCATCGCATACATCGACATGGTCTGGGGTCTCGCACTGACAAGGTGCACAAGATCTAATGGATGAGAATACTGACAGTGCTTTACATTATGGGCATCTGGGACGGCCTGTCTATCTTCCTGATGCGAAGGCTTGGACATTCACTCGCTCTTTGGCTAGAGGTGATCACCCGGCTGTTCCTTGTTCTTACAAGATAGCTAACATTCTTTAAAGTCCCCTCGATTGTATATACCGGGGTGACCAAGACAAAAGTGCCACCACCTTTCTACACAGAAGCGCGATCAACACCGAGAGTACCTGAAAAAGACGCCGGGAAGCTCATCGCAAGCTCACACCCCGAACTAGCTGCCTCATGGTCCTCTTTCCGCCAGGAACCTTTTTCAAAAGCTGTGATAAACACAACCGAGCAATATGACCCGGAGGTTTCTTCACTTTTTGACCTCGGTTATGCCGTGGATCTGAGGCGCCACGATAAGAAGCTTCGCTCAGTCCCAATCGCAGTGGCCGTGAGCGGAGAATGTCGCAACATAATGACATTCCGAACAATAGAAGAAGAAACACTGCATCTGGCCATGGAGGATTCCACCATGCGTGTTCCATCAATTGATGACACAGAAACGTCTGAGTGGTCCAAATGTGGTGCACCGATCCGTCAGGTACACTTTGCCCGTCCCTTGGAGGAGAAGCCCTTTTTCATGGCCGCTCGGCTTCCCACATCAACTACAATCTTCCGACCTCTCTATCACTGGGATCCGGTGCATATGTACTTCCCAGCGGATGTTATGATGAGATCCTCTAAGCCTCTACAGAACTCTCGACTTGATGCAAACCCCGTGGTGGAAATATCGATATCGGAAACGGGCGGCTTCTCTCATGCTGATGTTACCTTCAATCCCTGGTATCAAAGGCAATTTGGCATTGTAGATGTCAAAGGTAACTGGCATGTCTGGGAAATCACAGGTAGGCAGCGACTAAAAAAGGCTACTTGGTCGGCTCTGCCTGTGCGGCAAGGTTCATTGCCTTTATTGAATCACAAACCCAAGTTGCGCCGTCCTCAACTTGATGGTTGGGCATGCATCGAGTGGATAGGTGATGTTGGAACAATCCTTGTCGCCAATCGTCACAACATCATGATCTATCCAATTGTTGATGCCCAGATCCCACCACGGACGGTTGAACTAGGGATGTCAAAGCAATCCGAATGGGTTCTGATCGTGCAAAGAAATCCACGCAATCCATCGCAGTTCTTTGTGCTGACGACAACCCGAATACTGTGGTTTGATGCTGGAGTCTTGCCTGGCGAGGAGCAAACGAGCCCGTCTCTATACCCTCGTCTCTCTTGGAAGCACTTCAGAGATCCGGAAGATACAACATTACGATTTAGTGATCTAGTCGTATATCAAGGTATGCACTGGTACCACCACGAGCAAATTCGAAATACTAATCTGTCCAGACTTATACTTGGTTCTATTTTCACAGCTCACTCAAGTCGTGCAAATATTTCCATGCCCATTCATAGCCGACGAACAGACCGAGTCTCTATCGGTTTCTGATCCACTGATTCTCGATGCACCGCTATTGGCGGATATACCCTCAGTGCAACACGACTCAAATGTGAAATTCTCGTCATTTATCTTCAAAGAAGTTGCCCACTCGGCAGCACTGAGCAAGAATTATTATTACAATCCCCATTTGACCGTCATCAAGCTTTTTTGGATGGATTCCAATCTTGCTGTCCATGAATCAACCTTCAAAGGTCCTCAAGGAGACCCCGACGAGCTGGACTTATATCGCGAAGACAATATTTTGCGTCTCAGGAAGCGCTATGCCCCAACAAAACTTGTCAGAGTCGACGATAGCTTCATCGTGGATGATTGGGATGAATCAGTGGCACCGCAGAAGACTGTTCATCGCCACAAGAGCAAGAAAGCTCCAACGAGAACAGGCTCGGATCTTCAGTGGACCCTAGATTTCTCATCCATCTATGATATGGCGACAGGGAAAGCGGAGATCATTCAGACGAAGTTAAAGCAAAAGGAGCGGCCCAAGCCAAAGCCAAGGACCGTGGACGAGTTAATTGCGAGTCTACAAAGCGATATGGAGAATTTATGGACGAGGCAGACTCCAAGCCAAACTTTGTAAGTGGCCAAAATAGACATTGCCGGAATCACACTAATCATTCACAGGGTCGAGATGAGCGGCAACAGAATCTTGGGGGACGACCTCGACCAAAGCGCTGATGATGTGAAGCGTCTCGTGTCAGAACTCATACCCGAAATACAGGACCCTGACGCCAAGTGTCGAATCATGACTTTGCCGGCGCTTCGATTCTCGAAAGAATTGCAGGGCGTGTCAGTCATTCCATCCGGTGATGCTGGGATAGAGCTTCTTCAAACATATGATCGATTAGTTGATGATTGGATGTCGAGTCTCTCTCGCCATATCACCACACACACACGAATAATGAAAGAGAAAGTCATTCGAGGAATCGCTGCCGATCTTCTTCTAGCACGCCTTGTCCAAATCTCCAACACTCTGGATGACGTGACCCAACCCGACCCCGTTGGTCGAAATGAAAAGGCCGTGGCACAGAACAAGTTCCTACATTCGAGTTATTTGCCATCATCGCAGATCCCTGCAAGCCAGGCGCCAATGCTCACTAATGCCTTTGGTTCTCAACGGAACCCGGGACCGGTCACTCAATCCAAGTACGCTGCAGCACCAACTCTGAGCGGCCTCTCAGCATTTACTACCTTCAAGACTCCTCGTGCGATCCCCCGGAACGTGACAAATCTACTCTCGCACTGGTCAGTGGGAAACAATCCTTCTCAATATGCCTGGGAGAGAATTGAAGACGAAGAGACACGGCGTGCTTCAAGGGCCAACACACCCAGAAACAGACGAAAAAGACGCTCTCAGACTCGCGACTTATCCCTTCCCCCAACCCCGGCTGTGCCCACGGTCCGAGCATGGGGCAGTCAGCCAGATGGTCCTCCACGCATCAACCTCACTAGCAGCCAACCCATGGAAGGTGTCTCAATGACCCAAACAGAGCGAGGAGTCTTCGGAGCCCGCGATCCCTTCAAGAAGTCCAAACTCAAGAAAAAGAAGCGGGCAGCAGGATTTTAAAACAAACCAATATAACGAAAACACGAATATCATGAATACTATAATGCTATACCCTATATAAATTTTGAACTATTTCCGAATTCCCATGAAGTAACCAATCGCGAATATCTCTCAAACGGATGGGACACGTATGACAAATGCAAGCCCCTAGAATAATTTTCAGGGCTCCCTTGAAACATATATAATTCTTCACTCGATAGGTTTCCCTCTAAGAGTCAGAAACCCCCTTTCATCTCCCAAGCCGCTGCCGTCGCATCCTATCCCACTCACCTCCCCGCAGTCCCGCCACCTTTCCTCTTCCAACATTCCACCATGTCTGACCACCAGTACAAGTTCAACGTGACCATGACCTGCGGCGGTTGCTCAGGCGCCGTAGAGCGCGTCCTCAAGAAGCTCGAGGGTAAGCGACTCTCCCCGAATATGCGGGGTTCTTTCAAGACTCCGCACGCTTGTTGATTTTGTTGTCTCACGAGAACAAGAACAAGACCAAGCGCATGCCATATACTGACACACTGCTTCTCTCTCTTAGGCGTTAAGAACTTCGACGTCAACCTCGAGTCCCAGACTGCCAATGTCACCACCGAACCGACGCTTTCCTACGACACCGTTCTGGCAACGATCAAGAAGACCGGCAAGGCTGTGACTGGGGGAGAGGCGGATGGCCAAACTATGAGCATTTAGATGTCTACAATACATATATGTCCGTACACGAGGGCCCCGGTCTACATTCTGTTTGCGCGCTGGCTGGAAATCGAAATGCTGGAATCCATCAAGGGCTGACGACTAAGACTGAAGTAGAGGACCTTGGTAGCGAAACATACCGCCAGAATATCTTGTGTTGAACTACATAATTCTATGGAACCGTGATGAGGCTTGAATGAAATAGACAACGGGGAACAGGTCGTTCCGATTCAAATTGAAAACCCATGAGAGAGTTCTAATAATAGGGAGGGTATCATGAACAAGGCAATGCAATGCATGCGAATAGACAAATCCCCGAAACTTCAAATCCTCGCGCCGGAAAGAAAGAAAGAAAGAAAGAAAGAAAGAAAGAAAGGGGACATGATTGGGAAGTAGACGAGATTCGCTTAATCAACAATGACAATAGGTCTGCCGTCTGAGACAGGATAGTAGGATGGCCTCGGATCAACTCGCTGGACGTAGACGGGTCGGTTTTGCTCCATGGCCAGGGAAGATGGAGGGAGGCCAGGCGGTGGCCGTCTGTGTTTGTGTTAGCAGAAGCCTATCAGGGTAAGGGGGGATCTCTATTGGTGAAATGATTGGCTTCCCCGATGAAGGCTTACCGCGAGGAGATAAACCCGCCACTGAGTGGTCTGTGAATTTGAGAAGGGGACACATGAGGCTGGCTTTTCCCCGGGGAAGATTCAGATAGTGTGCGGACGTGGTTGTGGGAAACGGGGGCCATTCGTGACCCCATAGGCAATGGTCCGCGTTGGTCCGGGGAAATCTGGGCGTAAGAAAAAGGTTTGGTGCCAGGATAATCAGTGATTCTTGTCCTAACAGGCAGAGAAGAATCTCCAGTCGGCTTAGCCTCAGGTCCTGGGCGCCGGGAGACGTATTCAAGTGGAGGGGGTTCCCGGATGTCAACGTGGCGAACGAAGCCATCGGCATACAAGTTCCTGTCCTGGTGAAACTCTTCTGGCAAAAGGCGGCCGCCATCAATGCGACTTCGCGCGCGCGGTTCTTTTGGCATGCGGAGACTACGATCACCGTACTGATGCCAAGCTCCAGGATTGGAGACGGCCGGTGCAGCTCTGAAGGTGCGATCGCCCTCCGAGACAAGAACACTGGATAAATGTTCAGGTTGAGAGCGATGATGATGTGGTCCATCGATATGCTGCCGGTCCAATGGTCTTGCATCGAGATTGGCATGTGGGGGATTGACAAAAGAAACGGGGCTCCTCTGGCGTCCTACAACGGGTTGCTCCATTGGCATATAGTCTCGACGAAGATGAACTTGATCCTGGGGTCGGTGTTCCGGAGCCAGGTCGATGCGGCGATAGGATTCTCTTGGCCCAAACCCTTCGGAAACGGGAATCCCGATGGGCCTTGGTCCGGGTAGGGTTTCAGGACGAGAACCCTCATGGTACAAACGCCTTCTTTTGCTGGCTTTGTCATTGTTGCCATCCTGTTCGGTGTCCTGGTCGTAATGCATCATGTCCCCTTGGGGACGGCCTGGCGTGACCGAGCGGAGCGACATCCTTTTAGCCATGTTGACCAAAGGATGTGAACCGTCAATTCGCCGGCTCTCTAGCGACCAGGGATTTTCAATGGATGGCAAAATGCGCTCTGCTTGCTTTGAACCTGGTAAAGAGTAAAGGGAACTGATGGGGTCAGGACGACGTCTAGAGGGGACCTCGCTACTCTGGGCGATGTCCTTGGGTCCGCTCACAAACACAGGTGCATTTGCTCTGTCCTCCGACTGAGGAGGCAGTCTTTTGTACCGAAACCTGGAGTCCATTCTAGTGGGAGGGATACCCGAGGCCATTTTCACACCTCTGGATCCGGAGAGTTCTTCCAATATCTGCAGTTCAGGTGATTCCTGGTTGGTTAGTCCCATTGGCCTAGCGTTGATCTCATAATTTGAGGCTTTCTGTTGGGAGTCCGAGGGAACGTAAGTCCCCTGGACGCCTACATTCCCCTTGGCCACCTGCCGGTCCATTAGTGGTAAAGTAGATCGTTGCACCTGGTTTTCCATACTGGCTGAGCCTGGAATGAGTCGTTGCTGAGCCTCAGCGTGGGTGACGACGTCCGGGCGCCTAGAAACAGGGACTTCCTGAGCGGCAATACGTTGCGTGGCATACCGCGGACTTTTGTTTTCAGCAGTGGTACCAGCAAATCTGGTTTTCTGGGTATCTTGCATGCCCTCTCTGTATTCCTTGATAGCACGGTTCCATGCCTGGTACCTGCTGAATCCTCGACGGTCGACAATATTTTTTGCCGCCGCCATTCTTGGGACAAACCTGAATCCAGGCGGTGCTTCCTCGGATAGCTCCCGGGGAGTTCCCTGGCCCGAACGGTTCGCATTGCCGATGAGCGGAGTCCGAATTTCATGAGCCCGAGTGTCACTGGGGAGTATCTCCACCCTGGTGCTCTGATGGCCTGCGCCAGGTATCGCATCTTCTTCTGACTCACTGTCTTCGTCATCAGAGATGACGATCACCTCGCGGAAGACATCCTCAAGGACTGTCTGGCCATTCTCATCATCCCCTCGCCATTCAATGACTGTTTTCAGAGTCATATGCTCAACACTGTGTCGTGCCTCATGGAAGGACAATTTTTTCAAGAGGCTATCGTAGTCAGTTTTAGTATGACGAATGTGTGCAACCACTGCCAGCTGTGCCCTCCGAGCCATGGGCAATTCGGTGGCAGTTCCGACTTTTTTCTGGCCCTGAGTTTTGCAAATATCAGGTTTCCCACATCCGTTTTTCTCGACTCAAATGGGTATACTGACCTTTTGAAATGCAGTCTTGATAATCTGGTTGAGATCTTTATCTGGGATGTTGGGAAATAGATCCCTGATTGCGTCTCTAGCATCTGTATTCAGAGTTACTTGGGAGACTTCAGACCCAGCCCGAGAGTGGTTCTCTCTCATGCTCATAGCGTAGATGGGCAACGTCTTTCCAGTGCTTGTGAGGTAGAGACCCAACTCTGAACAAACAGCAGCCACCACGGTGCTCGGAAAATGATAGCCTATCCGGTGCACATGCTGAGAAAGGTTGTGAGTGCGAGCATGAGGGGTAGTCTAGAAACTATAAGCGGTGTTAAGAAATGGGGTCAGTCAAGAGACATTCTCACCGAGACTGCGTAGATTTGGAGATTCTCCTTTCGACACCGCTCCTTGCATGAGGTGGTGAGCTGAGGATTTCCTGCTGGAATGAAGGTGTAGCCACTTGGTGCTTTGGCCTCGAAACAGATCTGTATAGTTTGTTAGAGACCCTCCAAGTATCCAAGTATAGAGAAGATACATACAACACTTCGGAGCTTCTTCTTTTCTTGGGTCACAGACTCCATGATCACTTTGTGTTTGCGAGCTCTCCGTTGAACAGCCCGACTGGGAGCACGTCTAGCTGCGGCCAAGGCCGAGCCCGCTCTTCCCATCACACGGGCCATCTTTCTGGTTCGGTTCTTCGGTGAACCTTACTGGAAGGAGGATCTCAAAGCATGGCTCACCATAGAGGGAAAAGGGAGATTTGTGTTGAGTGGTGTGTATGGGTCCAGAATGTATTTGGCAAACTGTAGATGCAAGTGTTCTGGGCCGCGGTTGCCCCAAGTTCAGGGACAAACACTTAGTAAGGTCTGCGCAAGTCCGAAAGACTGAACAAGCAAACAGACAAAGAACCTTGAGAGGTTGAAAGCGAAAGGAAAGATGAGGGGAAAGATGGAGAGAGTTGGAGTGATAAGATTGTTGCGGCCCAAAGTTGACCTCTCCCGATCAGGTTAGTGCCTGAGGCTACAACTCCTCCACCGTCTTTTGCGAACTTCCCTCCAATACTATTTCGACATTTGTACTCCAGCCTTCCCGTTTATCCCTTTACATTATTGGAGTTTGAACCCAGATTGGACATGAACGCTCCAATCCAGGCTATGGTGGATCGACGAGCTGTGGTCCACGCATACCGTCACCTCTACCGACAGGGTTTGAAAGCGATCCAATATTCGACACCTGGCCGCTATATGGTCCTCAAGACATTACGCAAATCCTATCGTTCCCCATCCGAGCAATTTGACCCTGCAAAGATTGCCAAGACGCTTCAATTTCTCGAACGAGCCACCGAGGTAGCAGGCATGGAACATAAGATATTGAGGAACATTTTGATGGCTAGGTATTGGGAGCAGGATCATCTCACAAAGGATTCCCGGTGAGTGCCGTCGCCCACAGTGGAGAAGAATGCTGTTGACCTTGCTTTAGTCTACGGAGCTTGGGACTCGGCCATGTAGAGAACCAGTTGCGGACAAGTGCCTCTGACCATTTAAATCTGACGCTTGACCGTTTGAATGAAAGTCTAGGGACGTGTCTCAGGTGATTGGGGTCTCTGCGGTTCTCGACTTTTACTTCGCGCCGATCCGACCCGCTGTACGGTGCACCAGACCGTGCATCGTTAGGCCTCATTGCTTCCTTTGGGCATGAACCCAACTTGAGGCAAGGCAACTCGCCCAATATGGATTGCATCCCCTGGATATTAATACGGCCAGAACGCCGGCATACCTTCCAACCACGAGATACCAGAGGCCACGGAGCGCATGCTGACTCTAGGGTCATCATTATCCCTCACGTTATATTGCAGGAAGACTGGACAATATATGGCGGAGGATGTACCATGTCCGAAGCGTTTTATATGCCATGGAGTCCAGTAGAGTCCAACCTGATCTCCGCCTACTATACAGTATTAGTTTGGTCTGAGACATGAGAGTAAACATTGGGATTGGGTAGAGAAGGTAATAGAGCAAAGCTTGAGAAATAACTGAGAGACATTTCTCCTTTCCACCGTTCGACTATAAAACAAATAAATAAACCACTACATGAATATATAGTAGAGCAGCCCAGGGGAGACCAGAACATGTGATGATTCAGCACCCGGAGATCGGAGGAGCCCTGGAGGCGGTGCCGGGAGACGTCACATGCCACTCACGATGGTTTGTTTCAGCTACAACTTTGGGTTTGCGTTTGGACTTTTGGTCTTTAGCATCCATGATTTAATGAGATCTTACAGCCCTTCATGAGTGGTCTTCTCGAGTCGCTACTGATTGAACTTGGATTACGATCTCACCCTCTGCCATCCCCGCCGTTTAGCCAGCCACATGACGACCAAGCTGAGTCTCGCCTGAACGAACCGTCAGAGGCCACAATAAGCGAACGCGAAGAGGAGAGCTTAGCTTTTCGACCAGGCCAAGTTTGCAGACATAAATCAAACTGCGGAGATGCGGGGTCCCTGCATAGCCCTCCCTTCTTCACAACTTTACCCAAAGACATGGATGGACGAAATCTGCAGTCGGAGAGCACTCGAGCAGCCTCCCAGAACACACCTGGATTCATTCGAAACATAGCTGCTGCTACAGATGAATCGCCCGATCATGCACATGAAGCAGGCGTCAATATGCAGCAAGCCCCTACTGGGCACACTCAACCTTCGCGCCTCGATGCATTGAATGCGCAAAACGCACCACAAGATATGACCGCCGCGATAGCAATTGAAGGGTCCAGGCGGTCATTGAGCAACGCGTCCGATCTAGATGGACAGGGCCAGTCTCCGCTTCCGGCGGACGATGGTATGGGTGTTCTACGAAGCAGGATCATTGCTGTCAGGAACCTGGAACTTACCCATGTTCAAAAAGCGCGGAAGGTCCATGACTTGATGACAGAAAGCTACAACTCATCGCGAAAGCCTTTGAATATTTCTTCCACGAGCTTGTTATCCCCGCCCCCGAGCTCAGCGGGCTCGAGACTACCCACAAGTCCAAAGACTATGTCGCCGAGTGATATGTCTGAATTGGATCAAGCAAACCTGGATAGCATTTCTCGGTATGAGAGCTCATTCAATCTCAAACCTGAAGATTTGCAACCCACTTTCGTTCCCAAGACGGAGCCCGAACCGCACGAATGTGAGATGGGCGATGAAGATTCAGATACGGAAGAGTTAGCAGAGGCCACTCTCGGCTGTGTGCATTATCACCGCAATGTGAAGCTGGAATGCCATACTTGCAAGAAGTGGTACACTTGCCGGTTTTGTCACGATGAAGTGGAAGACCACGCTCTCATTCGCCGAGACACAGAGCATATGCTGTGCATGCTATGTGGACACGCCCAGCCTGCAGCACAGGACTGCAGAAAATGCGGTAAACAGACAGCGCAGTACTATTGCGAAATATGCAAGCTCTGGGACAACGACAGTAAGAAGAGCATCTACCACTGTAACGACTGCGGGATCTGTCGAATTGGACAGGGTCTAGGAAAGGATTTCTTCCATTGCCTGGTAAGGACACCCCTTGTGGTTAAAATTCATTTTCAACCATGCTTATGATACTTTAGACTTGCTGTGTTTGTCTGCCAATGTCAATTGAAAACACGCATCGCTGCATTGAACGATCCACCCAGTGCGATTGCCCTATCTGTGGAGACTATATGTTCACATCTCCCGAGACTGTCGTTGTTATGCGATGTGGCCACAGCATTCACCACAAATGTTTATCAGAGTATTCCAAAAGCTCTTTCCGTTGTCCGATCTGCAGCAAGACGATCACCAACATGGAAGCAACTTTTCGAAACCTGGATCGCACCATTGAAAGTCAACCTATGCCCGCAGAATTCAAGGATACGAAAGGTCTTGTTTATTGCAACGATTGCGGTTCAAAATCAGTTGTTAAGTACCACTGGTTGGGCTTGAGATGTGAACTGTGAGTATTAGACTTGATAAAAAATGGAAGCTTGCTAATTCTGTCCAGATGCGAGTCATATAATACAGCTCAACTTCGCATTTTGCACGGAGACATGTCAGATCAGCCCGAGGAAGATGATGCTGAGCATCTTCCTTCTCGACCTCGGTCGTCTTCGGTCATGGAAAACGATGACTCCATGTCATCTTCGCTGGCAGGATTAAGTGTCAATCCTGGCTCGGCTCCTCGTTCACGGCTCAGTGTACCATCAGTGGAAACCGAGAGACAATCTGCATCATACAACATCACTCGCGGTCGTGCTGTCTCGCCGGTCGTAAGCAACTACTTTGGACTTCCGACTGAGCGTGAATCTGAGAAACCCTCATCGTTGCCCTTTTTTGGAAGTCCATCATCACGCAGTGTCAACGAGACGGACTATGGTGCATTGAACTTCTTGAGCAAGAAGCTCACATACCCATATGGGCTGTTTGGTGGCGAGACAAAGGCGACAGATAACATATCAGAAGGTGGCGAGGAAGAGGAAGACGATGCGGAGTCATCAGACTCCGCTGAATCGGCTGGCTCCCATTGCAATGAAGATGATGAGGACGAGGATCATCTCGATATTTTTGGCCATCGGTGATAAGCTCATGCGATTCAATTTGCGCAGGTCAGACCGGCAGCGACCGCACACACAATTATTGCTCAAGAAAGTTGTTCTCTGGTCGGCTGTTTGGCGTTTGGGTCAACACTTCGAAATTACGTCAACCGGGTAGTTTCTTGATGCCTTTGGTCACGAAGTTACAGGTGAGTTATGTGGCGGGCACAACACCGTCCTAGACGACAACTCAAGTCTGAACCGGTACCTGGCTAGAAGTTGCCCCCTGGATACACTCTACACTGGCATCAAAGCAATGATTCTGCCTAAGATTTGGGAAAGTGTCAAAATCGCCACCCACACACATGCTACAGCCTCACCCCCTGCGAGGCCTTGTCCATGATTTTGGATCAACACAACTCACGGATTGAAACGACCCGTGCATTTGGACCATGTTGATTTTACATACATAAGCAGCTGGATTTGCTGCAGCATAGCGCTCACTTTTTTCGGATTCCAAATACATGGACATCATGATGCTAAGATAGACCTTTCGGTATTAGTGCCATGTAACATGTCTATGAAGACCTGTAGTTCCATGATTCCACACAAACTTTATCATCTTGAATCAAACAGTGGATCTCTCCGGTCCCTGAAACGAACGGGATCGAGAAGCATCCTCAACATGAGCGGTTGGAGCCTTGTCTCCTTCGTTTATGATGGCCATGGCTTCACGCTTCTCGGAAGTCCCTTCGCATTCTCCGGCCTCGACATTATCAAGCCCTCCGAAGATCTTGTCCATTCTCTCGAGGGACACGCCCTTGGTCTCGGGAAGAATGAAGTAAACGGATATCTGTAAAGTACAAGAATTGGTCAGCTACTTGAGGATATAGATAGAAGATCATCAACTCACGCCAGCAGCTAAATTCAAACCAAACAGTAGCCAATAACTGTGTCCACCGACTTTATTATTGAAAGATGGCCAAGATTGCGTGAGTAGCATCAGCCAGCATGTCTGACCAAGCATTGAAAGACCGAATCCCTGGGGATGCCATTAGTTATATATTGTTATGTGAACATTTCGCCTTGGTTCGACCAACCTTGTCTCTTACATGCTGAGGAAATATCTCCGTAACCACTGTTGGTGCAATAGGGCCATTGGACCAACAATAGGTCAAGCCAACGATGAAAAGCATTGCAACCTCTACAATAGCAGCAGCCTTGTTGCCGTTTGACGGGAAAGCAGTGGTTAAACAAGACATGATCAAGAGAGCCAGTGACTGGATAGCGAATCCAGCAAGCAAGAGACCCCGACGACCAAATCTTTCAACCGTGAATGTATTAACAAACACTATAAGCAGCTGAAGAACAGACTGGATTCCATTGATTGACAAAGCCTGCGAGCCAGAATCCCATCCAAGACTCTGATAAATCAATGTGGCATACATGGTCAGTGAAGCAATGCCTCCACACTAGATGAGAGCTGTTAGTTGTGTTGTCAACTGAAGTCGTATATAGATCTACATACCTGCTGGAGACCTGCGGCATAAATACCATACCACAGCCGCTTACGCATAGTCTTATCCTTGAGAAGACCAACATAGCCTGTCTCATAGCGACGGCGGAATTCATACGAGGCCACCAATTCATGGAACTCGGTACGAATACGTTCATCCGTTGGTGCTCCAGATCTAAGCCGACTGAGAACGTTGAGAGCCCGCTCAGGGGTCTCAGGGTATTTCTCCAGAACATATCGTGGGCTTTCAGGATACCAGAATGAAACCACGACAAAGGCCAGACCAATAGGAATCTGGACGATGTTCGATACACGCCAGGCAATGTTATAGGGTGACTTGTGGAAGGACATTCCGTATCCAGCCCAGAAGGCAATTAAACTACCTAGTTGGTAACCGAACTGTGAGACTGTTCCGACGAAGCTGCCTCGCAGTTTGGTGGGTGCACATTCGGCGACGTAGAGGTTCGTGGCAATATAGACACATCCGAAGCCTAGACCTCTGGAAGTTGTTCAGTATTTGTGCATAAGGATATAAGGATATATATCATGATCAACAGACTTACGTTAGGAGTCGTCCTAGGATTAAGACTCCAAAGTTGTTTGGAACAACCTCGACGACTCTCAAGTTGTGTCAGCGACAGGAATCTCCCATAAGCACTTCGAGTTTGCTCTTACACTCCAATAATCATGATGCAAATAGAGATCCGTAGAGCCCAAAGGCGTCCAAGCCATGCAGCAAGAGAGCCTCCAAGCCAAAGCTGGGCCAGCCCTAAGATAAGTCCCCTGTCAGTCGCCTTGTCGTAAGCCCAAAGTAGCTGGAGAGCCCAATATTACCTGTCATCGCCCAAGGTATCGTTGCCACTAGACCGGATCTGTTATCGTCGATGTTATAGTATTCGATAAACTGCTTATCGGCCAGAATGACTGTCATGATCCCGGCATCGTACCCGTTGAAGCAGGTTGAAAAGACCATACCATACAACAGAAGCGCCGCAAAGCTAAAGAAGCATTAGCAGAGCGCCATTCAACGCCAATCCAATCACAAATATGAAAAAGTTCCTACCGGTCATCCTTAGGGAGGAACTTTTCCACTAGACCCATTTTGAGATATAAACAAGCCCGAATTCGCATACAAGGGCATTGTGACGAACGGCATACATATAAAGCCACTTAGCCCGGGAACCCACATCCGGAAAGGCGAGACTCGGATTCCCCAGAAAAGACTAAGCCTAAGCCTGCGGGGAAGAGAATCAAGCAATCAAGCAACTCGACGGCTTCAGTTCGGATTTGCCCCCGCCGGAGTCTCCGCCGGAGCCGGAGCCTCCCACCCAAGCCCTAAGTACCGGTGGAGGCCCGACTCGGGAAACATGACGATGTCAGGGTCTCGTTTTCTCCCAGACTTCAATCCCGGAGGGGCTAGCCAAAACCCGGTAAATATAAGGAATGCCTAAAGACAAATTGTGTTCTTCGATTGCTCATCTATACCTGAATCATGGATTACCCACAAGAAAGCTTTGTTGCGACGACCTTTGCTCCAGGATCTTTCTGGGCACGTCGTCGCGAAGTGGTTCGGACTCAGACTCTGCGGCATCAACTTAACATGCTCAAAACCACTGGAAGATATGAGGCTTTCAAGTTGAAGTGGCATCCAAGCTATGGAGATCCTCCCACGGTGTATCCCATTCCAAACCACCAGTTCTGGGATTCCGATGTGGCCAAGTGGATTGAAGGAGCTTGTTATTTATTGATAGACCATTACGATGTCGAGATAGATGCAGCTGTGAAGGAGCTGGTGCAAATGATTCAGAGTGCCCAGGAACCTGATGGATACCTTAACATCCACTATACAGTTGTAGAACCCGGCAAGCGTTTCACAAATTTGCGAGATATGCACGAGCTGTAAGGCTATATGCTTAAAAGAAATGTGTCCCCTAGCAAGCCGCAGATGGCTAACACGGTCTCTAGATACAACGCTGGTCATCTCGTTGAAGGTGCACTTGCCCATCGTCTCTTTTACAAGAATGATGACATGCTATCTCCCATACTGAAGTATGTGGACCTTCTTGCAGCAAAATTCGGAGACCAGGATGCCCAAATCCCCGGATATCCTGGACACCCTGAGATTGAGCTCGCTCTCCTGCGGCTGTACAAAGTCACAGGAGATGAAAAACATCTCAGGCTAGCCCGATTTTTCATTGAAGAACGAGGTAATCCTTCGGGTGGGAAAACAAAAAGGCACTACTACGACATCGAAGCTGAAGCAAGAGGCGAGAACGAGCATGAACGACCTGCATACTTCCCCGCCTCCAGGAGCTACTCGTATGTTTTACTATAACTGTATGTGCTTTTCATGGGTGAGTGTTGCTAACAAATGGGATGAATTAGTTACCAACAAGCACATGTGCCGATTGTTGAGCAAGAAACAATTGAAGGACACTCAGTTCGAGCCATGTACCTGCTCACAGCAGTTACAGACCTTGTCCGGATATTCGGACCCGACAGTAAAGTGGGAACAACTTTCTTGCCTGCTGTCAACCGGCTCTGGTCGAACATGGTTGAGCGGAAGTCCTATGTAACCGGCGGGATTGGAGCTATAAAGCAATGGGAAGGCTTTGGTATTGACTACTTCTTACCTCATGGAACTGATGAGGGCGGTTGCTATGCAGAGACTTGTGCTGCGATTGGAGTCATGATGCTTTCTGAGAGGCTGCTACAGGTGGGTTTTCTTTATTCGTTTTATGTGTATTTGAGCATTTCGGGCACTTACATGAACAACCCATAGGTTGATCTTAGCAGCCATTACGCTGACATCATGGAGCTGTGTCTTTACAACGCAGTATTGACTGGTATGAGTCTGGATGGGAAGGCATTCACCTATGTGAATCAGCTGGCTTCCTCGGACAATGATCTTTCCGAGCGCCACGAATGGTTCGAATGTGCTTGTTGTCCACCAAATGTTACACGCACCTTAGGTTACATGGGTGGGTATATCTGGAGTCACAATGCGACAGAGACTAGCGCCATCATCAATGTGCATCTGTATACCTCGGCCACTCTACGTGTTCCTGTTTCAGAATCGGTAGTTGAAATCACCCAGAAGACCGACTGGCCTTGGAATGGGGACGTGGATTTCAGCATCCAGACAAATGGACCCCCTGCTGAACTCCAAGTGAGACTGAGGATCCCTGGCTGGGCAGAATCATGGCAGGCAAGTTGATATATCACATCTGTAGTCACCACCCATACTAACCAGATCATCAGATTAACCCGAGTCCCGAAAACCTAGATATCCAAAAAGGATATCTATATCTAAATGCTAAATGGCTACAAGAACATTCTCAATTCCGACTTTCATGTCCAATGAAACCACGAGTAACCAGGCCCCATCCACTAGCCATGCAGCCAGTGGCATACGTCACACGAGGGCCGATCGTATACTGCGTGGAAGATTTCGATCACCTATGGGAAGAGCGTCATTTCAAGGTATGGCACGAAACAAACTCAACAAAACCAGAAATCTAACAACACAATTTAGACGACCTTATTCGATCCCCAGGCCAATTTACGGGAAGAGCCACGATCCGAGCCCGATCAGTATGTGGCCATCATTGCTGAGAATGGAGCCAAAGGCGAGCTTGACACGTCACCTTGGGATAAAAGGATCGTGGCAGAGGCGGGGACTGCTGCTACTGGAGAGAAGAGGGACCTGTGCTATGTGCCGTATTACCTACGGGCAAACAGAGGTGGACGAGGACATATGAGGGTGGGACTACGCGTTGAATAATGTAGTAGAGCTGCCGTAAGACCTTGCGTTGGGACTTTGAGGTTTGGAATAATCTAAGAAGAAATTTGAGTTTCAAAACGAATAGTTAGACACGAATCTCCATCTTGAAAATTGAGTAATGTGGAGCTTTGTTCAATATAGTTCGGCACACGTCTGTGATTTATATGATCATCAAATTCAACTTCCCTAACCCTTTCTATATTGACTAAGCGTTGAAGCAAGAGATGGGAAGTATAAATTATAAAAATAGATATTGATTACTAAATGCTTGGCTTATCTAACGCGTTGACGTTATTCTGCATGCGGCCATCGGATTCCATAGTTGGAGACTCACGATCTGTAAGCCAGCTTAACTGCCTGTAACTGTCTGTTTTCATGATGTTGACGTTGATCTCTCCTTTTGCATCATGATCTTTTCTTTCGTCATATCCTGAAACGAAGCACGGATCCTTCCGCACCAGTGCGCATATACTCCTTCATTTCAGGACCCCCGGATTACCATTTTCTCCTCCCCTGAGCTCCCCTGAGGTGCGGATTCACAGGATCAGTATCCTGTGGCATAGTTAGCACAAAGGAACCACGTGAATAGTCCCAACAGCCTCCTCCGATCTCTTATCAGTGGTTCTCCTGCCCCACCGCGTTCCTCTCCCTGGCTCCGCGCCCTCTCTCACGCCAATACCATGATCCGTCGCAACTCTGACATCGAAATCCAGCTTCCGGATGCCGGGCCGACTCCTCTTTCCCCCGAGTCTGTGACCGAATCCGATGTGGAGATGCTGTCGGAGGAACAGGCACCACCCTTGAGCCTCCCGCCACACATCGCTGCCCGATTTTACCGCAAAAGCAGCATCTTCCGTCGCTCCTCGGCCGCGTCGTCTCGCCGAAACTCGGTCTCGTCCCTGCACTCTCATCATTCCGCGTCGTCGAACGGATCGCCGACTCCGGATCACATTGCCCAACATCTCCGACGCACGTCTATCTTGGAGAACCGAAAGGCCAGGCTCGCTGATCGGGCATTGCATGGGGAGAAAGTAAGGTTGCGAGCCGCCTTGGCTAAAGCAGCCACAAGGAATCTTCAAATAGAAGAGAGAGCACTGGCTGCCCAGCAAGCTCGTGAGCGCCTGCTTGCGGACATCACGGCCAAGTGCGAAGATCAGGTCAAACGAGCCAAGAAGAAGGCCGAGGACCAGCGGGACAAGAAGGCTGCTGAAGAAGCCCGGCTGCGCGTGGAAATGGCGGAGAAGTTTGCTGAAGCGGAGAAGCGACGTACGTTGTACCAGCAAACGCACCGACGCCAACGCACGAGCAGCTTGCCAGTTGCCGCGGAGAAAAAGATGTCTCGAGAGATCACCAAGTCGTCCACACAGGATGCGGCTGCGCGCAAGATCCAGCGCGTATGGAAAACCCATAATGCTAAAATGGTCATGAAGCAGTTCCAGTCGTTGAACCTCTCTGTGAACCGAGTTCGCAACGAGACTTTTGAGCAAGTGGGTAGGTTGCTTTCCAACAAGGAACTGTTAGATACCATGACCAAAGTTCTCCGACTTTGTGGTTTGCAAGATATGGAAGGCGGGACGATGGGTGAGAGGGGTGCAGTGCGCACTTTTCTTAGCAGTTATCTGATCGTTACACATCCCACCGAAGTTTTGAGCAGCAGCAATGGAGAACAGGAACAAGACTTGATTGACAAAGCTGGGGAATTGCTGGCGGCTTTTGATCAGGTCACAGCGCTGCTATCCTCAGGCTGTTGCTCTCCTTCTGTGATCACCGCGGATCTCCAGACCTTGTGTGAAAGGCACAATGTCTTTTTCTCGGCTTTCCATGCCTGGAAATCTCATGACTCCAGCGTCTTGGTTGAGATCATGATTGCTCAGTTTGTCGAACTGGAGCTAATTTGGCAAACGGTCAAAAATGACCAGGCTGGCGGTGCTGCAGAGGACTACAGACAGGGCATCAGACAGAACCAGATTCTGCTCCTCGCCCGCCTGAAGCGACTTGCCGGCCCAGACCGACACATGGAGCTGATTCGAGATTCACTAAAGAAGGCTAAGCGGGAAAAGAAGCGTGCAGCTTCTAAACAAGCTATTCCTCGATCTGCCGAGGCCGTCCCTCCATCTACGGATGTTCTGACAGAGAGTGTCACCTCGCCAATCAGTGAGTCCTTCAACAACCTCGATTTTGCGGTGCTCCATGAACTGGACAAGCAGCGGACATCGCCTCATGAGCGATTTACCAAGATCCTCACTCCTCTCCCTGAAAACCGGGAGTTGGTACATGAACTTCTTATCAACAAAGAGTTTAAGATCGAAGAGGCGCCTTACACTGAGCCTCGCCGAGAGATCATGAAGCAAATGTGCGAAACGATGAGACAAGGGGTCGAGGCTGGACAGGCTACTAACTGGATTGTCGCCATGGCCACGGTGATCCAAGATCGCTTGTTACGCTCGCTTCAGCGTGGCAATTCGCTCTACGTGATAATCAGTGAAGTCTTGGATCCGAAGCTGGTTCAAGGACAGTGCGAAGCTGGCACCTTCTCTTATGACAATTTCTTCGAGTTTATGAACAATATCTTACCTCGCCTGTGTGCTCCCTATCGAGACCCTGTGGTCAAGGCGTTCATCGAAGATACTTCGGGGGATGAAATTGACCGTTTGGCCCGGTTAATGAGCATCATCGATCTGCTATCGCTCGATCAGACGAATTTCATGATCCAACTGGCCGCACCTCAGCTCATTGAAGAAGCTCCGGGATACGAGCAGCGGACATTCGATCGAGGCATCGCAGATGGGACAATCAGCGTCAGAAAGACCCGGCGGTTCTGGCGCACTCATCACAAGATCCTTGTTGACGAGATGAAGAAGCGAGACCCGGAGAACATCCATGGTGAACCGCGTCCACATTCGGCGCGAGTTTACGCCCAGGGCCTTGCTGATACTGTTTTGAGTAATGCAATTGTGTCTGAGGACCTGATCCCAGAAACATTGAGCCTTGATCGTCAACGACTTGAGCGGTTACATGCCAGAGCATTCCAAATCGTGGCAACAGCCTCAATCTTGTTGACGGCGAAGAACCTGCTCAAGCGGGATGTCCGGTCTCAATGGAAGCCGGAGGCAGACCGCATCCTTTCACTGGACTTTAACGAAATCAGCGCAGAACGCGTGCAGTCAATTCTGGAATCAACGCATCCAATGCCACCCGCCGCAAGTGCCCAACTTGCAGCAACCATCAAGCGAGTGCTTGGACCCGTCGCCACAGCATGTATCGCAGCTGCACCCCAGCTAGCCGTGGTATCTTCCGATGTCTCTGCATCCGAAATGCCCTCAACGGACTCACAAGCAAATGCGCCCAGCTTCTCGGACCCAGTAGCGCGACTCATGCTCTCACGTCTCCGGAGTCATGTTCTGTCCCGACTGAGCGCATCAAGTGCCTCGGAGCGAGTTCGAGCCACCACAACGGCCAGTCAGAACCTGGCTGCTGCCGGTATGCCGGAGTTTGTCAATGAAGTTGGACAGGTGGTGGAGGAATTAGAGAAGGTCCGCGAGGTAGATTGGCTTTGCCACGGGGCGGTATATCAAGGTTTATACGAAGAAGGCGTTCTACCACAGTGATGGCGTTTTAGAGGGCATATCCATATAATGATTGTGGTTTGTTTGTGCTCTTGGGTTTCACTTGGACTTGGAATTGGCAAATTGGCAGGGCATAATTATACTTGGATTTGGATAATGTCAAGTTTTGTTTGAAATTCAATTCTATTCAATTAGTTAACATATAATCCTAACTTGATCAACTACGTGGTACATGTAAACCTCTCCGTAGTGGGTGGCACTTATCAACACCTGCTAAATGGACATGGTGAGTGTGTAAAAGAAGGCAGGACAACGCATATCAGTCCATTCGCGACGAGATATGCCAATTTACATTGATGATGTCCGAAGGGGGTAGTTGTAGTAGACAATTACTCATAACCTTGGAAATTTCCCCCCATTGCTATCTAATCTCCAACCCCACACCAAAATTCACTCACCTTCAACCTTCACTTTCACCTTCACCTTCACCTACGCCAATTCAAAATGGCGCAAATAACCCACCTCTCAGACCTTACGCCCCCATCCCTAGAACGAACTTGGCTCACAGCCCCCCACCCAACCCTCCCAATAGTCGCAACCTGCAGCTCGGACAAGACCGTGCGAGTATACTCGCTAACAAACTTCACCCTCCTCTCAACAATAACAGGCGGACACAAGCGCAGCGTCCGTACAGCAGCCTGGAAACCACACATTACAGGCGAATCCGTCCTAGCAACTGGCAGTTTCGACGCAACAGTGGGAATCTGGCGACGATGGGATAGCTACGGACGGGAAGATGGCAGCGGACTGAAAGCAGCCGGCACAACCAACCCCGATGACGACAAATTAGATGGAAACGCGGAAGAAGACGAAGAAGAATGGCGCTTCGCCGTCCTCCTCGACGGCCACGACAGCGAAGTCAAATCCGTCTCGTGGTCGCCGTCAGGCATGTTACTGGCGACGTGCTCGCGCGACAAATCAATCTGGATCTGGGAGGATCTCGACGACGGCGATAACAACTTTGAAACGGTAGCTGTGATGCAGGAGCATGGCGGCGATGTGAAGTGTGTAGCGTGGCATCCGGTGGAAGAGTGTCTCGCGAGCGGGAGCTACGACGATACGATCCGATTGTGGCGGGAGGATTTGGATGATTGGGGCCAGGTCGCTTGTATCAAAGGCCATTCGGGGACGGTGTGGTTCTTGGATTGGGAGGGTGCTGAGAATGTGCCGTCCTCGTCCTCTGCTCATGTTGATACTGCGCTGGCATCACAATGGCGTGCCCAGACGGCCCTTTCAGGTCCGCGTCTTCTCTCTGGCTCGGATGACCGCAGTGTGCGGGTCTGGCGTCGCCAGCCGAAGGAAAGCCAGATGGCGTCTCAGTCGTCTTCTGCGGCGACCGGGATCCCGAGTATCATTAGACCCACTGGTACAGACGAGATATGGGAAGAGGATGCTGTTCTCCCGCATGCGCACGAGCTGGCTGTTTATGCTGTTGCGTGGAGTAAGCGAAGTGGGCTTGTTGCATCTACTGGAGCTGATGGGCGGATTGCGCTTTATGAAGAGCGGTTCGTTGCTGAGAACCAGGATCCGGATGCTATGGATATTGGGTCTGGAGAGGGAGTGTTGAAGACCGAGTGGGTGCTTATTGCTGTCCATGATGGGGCGCATGGCATTTATGAAATCAATCATTGTGCCTGGGCGAAGAGGGCAGATCGTGGGTCTGAATCTGGCGAGGAGGTGCTTGTTACGACGGCCGATGATGGAAGTGTCAAGATTTGGACGGTGCAGAGGTAAATCCTTGGCCATCCTGACTACATTATAGATATCAAAAACCGATGTGACGATGTAACTAGGAAGCTAGAAGAATATGCAGAACGCATATCAATATCAAGATTCTAAAAGTTCATTCATATGTAAATATCAAATGAGATGCAAACCCAGTTGACACCGTCTACTTTGTACAAATGCAGCCAAAACCAACTAAATAGACATGATCAGATTCGTCACGAAGATGGGCGAGTTTCACCAGTTCCCGGTGCTGGATGAGAGGCATCATGGTGCTCATCGTCATCGTCACTCGGCTCGCCGACAGCATAATGTTCCCGGTCAATGCCAGGGGAATGAAGCTGATCAAGCTCTGACTCGTCAAAGTCGCCAGCCTCAACGTCTCCACCAGAACGCCTGTTCTGGAACCTGTTGAGAATCGAAGAACTACCCATCATCTCATTATTGGAAACGCCCTTGTAGCCCTTTTGCGTGCGGCGACTGCGCCAGATGAAGAAGCCCCAGACCGTAACGCCAATAATAACGATGACGAGGATAGCCTCACCAGACTTGGTATAGGCGTGCATCTCGGTTTGCTTCAGCTTCTCCTTCTCGTTTTGCTCGGCAGCGGTGCTGTTGGGATGACCACCAACAGAAGTCTGAGGCAGCTTCTCGCCATCGATACGGGAGTCAGTCGGCTTACCGCCAATGCTACCGATGTCGACGTTCATGAAGCGGTCGAGCATATCACGGCTCTGGCGGGGCATGTCGAATGGCACCATGTGGCTGGCGTTGTAAAAGAGCACGTAGGTGAGGTTACGGGCGTGCTGGTAGATACCAGCAGGCTCGCCCTCAAAGGACCAGTCGTGACGAGGAGCCCAGACACCAGGCGACGTCTCGAAACCGGTGCCGTCCTTCCATTTCATGTTGTGGATCAGAGTCTCTGTTCCGAGGTGGTTGCAGATGAGGTCTTTATCACCGCTAAACAGCAAGATATTGAGACCGGATTCAATCAATCCGGGGAGCAGGGTGATTGCGGGGAGGGACTTCCTCGCGCTGAATGCACCACTGACCATACCAGAGCATTCTTTCCAGCCGGTCTTCTTGGCTGGGTTGATGTTCAAGGCCTTGACCACATCCGGGCGCTGGAGATAAGGCGTCATGTATTCCAGATCTGGGGGCCAGTTCATGCCACACGAGGGGTATTCGTCTTGGAGGCGGACATCGTACATGTTGTAGCATTTTCCGTCCTTGGATGTGAGCGAGAGAACTTCTCTCAAGACATTATCGCATGAGTCGACTTCCAACTTGTTCTTTGCGCCGGGGGTTTCAAGCTTGGAAAGGCAGACCGAGTTTAGAGCATCCAACTTCTTGTAGGTCTGGGATCCTTGCTTGACGAGGCCTTCCCTCTCCATGAAAGGAAGATATGAAGGGTACTGGTCTGCAGGAGAAATCCAACCGTTGCCGATCAGCATACCCTTCAAGGGCCACTTCCTCCCGCCGTTTGCCGGCGCGGCCTTGTTGCGCTCTTGGATAGCCTTTGCAATGTAGGGGATATGTTGTCCAGCGTATGATTCGCCTGCGAGATACAACTGCGAGACAGTCAGCGTTAAATCCAAGACGAAAGAATAGGTCAAAACGTACGTCATCGTTCTCGTACTCGGGGAACATTTCAAAGAACTTGCTCAAAAACACCATAAACTGAGAAGACATCTCATCGAGCTCATGGAGATAGCTATCGGTGTTGACATAGCTGAATCCGGTGCCAACCGGCTGGTCAACGAAGAGCAAGTTGGCAAACTCATCCCAGCGGCCCGGGTTATACTCGAGCGTTTGGTCATCCTTAAGTCGATACGGCCCAACCTCCATTAACGCGCCATCCATAGAGCTGCATCCGGGTCCTCCATTCAGCCAAATAACGGTCCGTTGGCGGTTCGCGATGTGGCGGTTCTGGAAGTGCCAGAAGAACAGGTTACCGTTGGTCTCCGGGTTGACCTCAATGTGGCTGGATAGGGTGTTAGACAAGCTCCTTGATAGAATCCCAATATTCTTCCACTCCACAGCCTTCCGCGTCACTCACCCAGCATGCATCTTCAAGAAAGGACCCTCTGGGGCTCCCGGTAACGAGTGTACATAGTAATCAGCAGCAGAGCTGGCTGACACCAGCGCCGGGCTCAGCAGTAGCGTTAACGCGGACAATAGCATCGCGACAGCACCACCCTTCTTGGCAGAAGGGAGGAATGGAATCGAGAACATCTAATGGCCGTAGGAATCATAAGAAGTAAAGTCGAGATCGAGGATTGGGAGACTTGTTACGAGCGGTCCCGAAGGGATAATCGTTGATCACTAGGTCATTGAATTTGGATGGGACAGCTCGAGAGAAGGAAGGTAGTCGCTTCGACGGCAACGATGAATTAGAGAGAATGAGAGAAGAGAACATTTAAGGTAAAGAAAGGAGATGACGAGGGATGGAGACAGGATGCGTGGCAGTACTGATACGGTAATTACCACCAGTCCATCGCCATTTGTATTGTGGATAAGGTTAATTACATGTAATGGAAATACAGAAATGCGCCATGGCCGAATTCGTCGCTCTATAAGCTTATTGATCTACGTATAAAGCTTCACTTGATGCTGGAGACCGGTGAATATGGTATTGAATGTGCACTTTTATATATTCGAGGTGAAACCGCTGAAACAGCTGAAACACTGAAACATCAGAACAAGTCATCCAGGGACTTGTCGGCGTCCTTGTTGATAAGAGCCACCATTCCCTGCAATTGTTAAGTCTCCTCTTTCAAAGGGCAAGCGTGGGACTTACATCGGGCATGATGGGCTTCTCCTCAGCATCCTTGACATAGCGGAAGGGCATCTCAGTGCGCTCATGCTCGTTGATCTGCAGTTCCGGATAGTCGACATAGGGGATTTCCTCGAGGGGCACTGCCACAGTAAGTCTCTGGCCAATATGAAGCCAGTGCTTGACTTACCCTTCTCATGGACCACCATGCGAGTGACTCGCACTGCAGTGTCAGTTGTCATCTGCTTAGGCCCCAATCGGCGACCGACATAGCCCTTTTTCCTCAATTCCGAGGTGCGATCTGGGAAATTGTCAGTGGCAACCAGATATATTAATATCGAGTCATACCTCTAGGCGGGTCATCGCCTAGTAAAAATGTCAGCTTCCAATTGCATAGAACATAGAATGTATATCATAAAACATAGCGATTTATAACGTTAAAGTTAGCGAGAAAAAAAAAAGTCACATACCGAGAATACCACCGAAAAGAAAGACCTCAAAGTGGTCACCATCCTGAGGACTCAACTCAGTCTGTGCAGAAGGATCCAACAGACAGACCTTATCCTTGCGGTCTGCAAAGATTTCCTCTACGCTGCGCTGCTCGACCTCGAGACCCTTGGTGGCGGCCAGATCGGCGGGCATCTGCAGCTCGGCGGGCACAGAACTGAGCAGGAATCGAGCGCCGCGGGCGTGAGACTCGCGAGCGATACAGGCATATTCCAGTGTGGACCAGGGGCCCAGCTCAGGATCCAAGTGTTCGACCACGAATGTCTTTTCCATGATGAGGTGGGTGTAAGAGACGTCACAGAAGACGTTAAGGTTCCACTTGAGGGAATGAAATATGCGAGGGTTACGAACTACAAATAGTAAACCGACGTAGAAGAGAGAGAAATCGACATAAACCAAGTATAAAACTAAGTAGAATAAGAGAAAATAACCTACATCAATTAATTGCCATTGGCGTCATCCATGTATGAATAATGCTCTCTCTCTCTCTCTCTCTCTCTCCACTTAACCTTCTTGACTGTCACACTTTATAACTCTCTCTTCTCCCCTCCCGCTCTCAACTTCTTCAACTATCATCATGAATCCCCATCAACAAAACAAAGTGGACCTGAACGTCAGTGACCTCCCAACTATCTCAGAATCTCCCTAACAGCATTCCAGTCGCTGAGCCCAGAGGAGCAGCGCCTGCTGCGCCTCTACGGCAAGATGCCCACCAAGAGGGACGTTCTCCAGAACAAGCTCAAGGTAAGTCGACGCCCCAACTCTACCTTACACTGCCTACCTAGCTACCCTACATACCCCTCTCCTCCCCTGTGCTCCCAACACCATTAGCTCACCACCACCCAACCCAACCCAATACTAACACCACCCTTACCAGGAACGCAAATACTTCGACTCAGGCGACTACGCTCTCAGCAAAGCGGGCAAAGCCTCCGACGTAGGCGTGACCAACATCGGGTCCCGCCACCCAGTGCCCGAGAATATCCCCCACCTGACAGCAACCTCGCCGGGCACCAGCAACCCCGCCCCACACAACGGCAGCGTCAGTGGCAGCGTTAGCGGTCAGGGCCAACAAGCCCCCGGCAGCTTCAGTGGCCACCCGGGCTCGGTCGGGTTCCAAAGCCGCAGTCCCGTCAAGGAGGGCGGCAGCTTCCTGCACCGCGGCTCTAGTCTCAGCGAGGGCGAGGCTGGCTCCGGTCTTGCTCATGCTCAGGCGGGTAAGGAGGATGATCTTAGTGTTAGTCCCCCGCGGGCTAGGGAGGGTGTTCCCATCCGCCGGTAGGAGCATGAATATTGAGATATGAGATACTGAGATATTGGGGATGGGTGATATCTGCATGCATATCTTTTGAAGAAGGGGTCTGTGATTTCTTTTCAAGAGCTCGGCGCTATGGGATCTTTCGATTTGTCTTATTTTCTTTGCGAGGGATTGAAGGAGGATGGGAAAGGAATGGGATGCACTGCGGGACGGAGCAAGTGAGAGCTTGAGCTAAGCTGAGCAGAGTTGAGATACCTTGATCACTCGGTGTTCAGATCGTGGCTTGCACTTGGCATGGCATCGGGGCATATCATCAACCTCGGCTCAACTCGCACTCTACTTGCTCTCAGTGACTTGTCTTTTTTCTTCTTTCTATTTTATGCCTATCATCATTTATCATCAGCAATTTCTGGCATGGATTTACGTCTCGATTCATCTTCGATTCTGCTTGTCTATATCTAGTGCACGCGACAAGACTCTTGCGTTAGTTCTGCTATTCTGCGATTCTGAGATTCGGTTTCTGTTCTCGCGATTCAGATGCGATGGAGACTTTTGCTTTACATTTTGTCTACTGTATTCTTCTACTGCTATGCGAAAATACGTGTAGGTATGGAATGGATCCGTGGGTTCCGGTTCTTCAATGTCTTCTGTGTCTTCTATGCTGGTTCTATGCCTTTGTACTTGATTTGATTCTGTGGTGCGATTGTATCAGCCATCCAATTTGTTCAAATCTACTAAAGATCATGGCATGAATATCCCTTGGCATATGGAGTCCGATAGATCTCTTGCATAGTAGCAGAAGTAGATCGGCCATGAATTGCTCCAATGTTGGATCGATACTCCACTAATACTTCTATATTGAGGGATTGGGCCGAAGCAAGTATAATCAAGATATGTATAAATCACCCTAGCGCTAGGCAAAAAGTACAAGAGATAAGGAGAAAAAAATCCACGTATCCTGTCCTATGTACAAAAATGGCTGGAAAAGCAAGCCGTCAGATACACCTCGGAGGGCTACGAATGAAGCAAGACTCAATTAAAGGGGTGAAAGCAAAGTAGAAAAAAGAGCCTGAGCGGGACAGAAGAGGGTATAATTGCCAAACGGAACGGGTTGAACAGTGATCAGGGCAGAAGGAGAAGACACAGACAGAAAAAAGAACGAGAGCAAAAGACGCAACATAGATTTATCTGGTATCGTCGGGTCATGAAAAGGGGCGGGGTTGGAGGACTGCGTAGTGTCTACTCCGAAACATAGGCGTAATGTGACAAGGGAATCAAGGCTTGAAACACAGCCCATTGCGAGGCCATGAGACAGGGTTTGACCTATCTCTTGCAGATGCGAGGGTTATACATAGGCCAAATGCGGAGTATGTTTGAAGAGAAAGCAAGGAGAGAGGGCGCGTGACTGGAAGATGCCAGTGAAGCAGGACGGAAATACACGACATCAGCAGAACGGAAGCTATTTTGAGGAGGGACTCGTTCTGCGGCCGCAGCGACGTGATGTCGGTGAGCGAACCCCAAAAGAAATCACAGCTAATGTGGCGCTATCGTGTGAATGGTGGCCGCGAGAGGGGTCGCTTGGATGGCCGATTCTCGGCCAGGCTCATGCAGCAAGATACAGCGAATTGGGTTGTGATCCGTGAGACATGAACCGTGAGCCGTCTTCAAATCCTGCCCATGCGAGTTGTAGCGATAAGGAGCAAAGCGCAGGCATGTTGATTCGGTCACTCAGTCGGTTTTCCAGTGTCCTGCAAGTCCATTGTCGATGTCGTTGTGCTCGCCGAGCCAGAGTTCGACTGCGTACAAACCTATCGTACAGGCCAGGTTGATCCATCGCCACGGGTTTCCTCCACCAGCGCCCTGGCTGCTCCACCATTCGCCGCTGCCGCCCATTGCTTGTGATGTTGATGCGAAATGCTGCATGAGGAGACTGGTGTAGACGGAGATGAGGATGGTCGGGGCGAAATAGCTCAGGAAGCCTAGGACTTGGCCTGCTGCGTCGGAATCGTCGATAGAGGCTTCCTGATAGAGAGCGCGAGAGCCAGACTCACGGACAGCTGGGATGATTCGAGTGGAAGCATACAGCACCAGAAGGCGATAGGCGAGCGAGATAAGGACAGATGGTGTGACCGCACTGAATACTGCGGTAATCACATTGAAAGCCGCGTGAATAATGGATGGTAGGAGAGACAGCGCATGCATGAGGGTTGTGTACGAGGCCATGAAGATGGGAGGGAGCGGAGGGAAGTCTCCGGCCTGCGAGGGCGAGGGAATTTGTTCCACGGGGTGCGATGGCTTATAGTCGGTGAATATCTGGTAGATGCACAAGACGATATAGGCGAAGAGTAGAGAGCTCTCGACCGGGTTGCCGCGTCCACTGCCAATGCCCCAAGCACACAGAATAACGGCGCAGGTGATCGACACACCGATTAAAGCCGCATCAACGTTGGAGATTTCGGGGAATTGCAGAACTCGCCAGAGGAAGTAGACGGAGCTGGAGATGATAGTCGCGGACAGGACCAGGAGGCCAATCTAAAACAGGTGAGCTCGTGTAGTGACAGATCGGGATCAAAACATACCATCCAGCTATCGCTGCGCCCACCGCGATTCACGAGCCAGCGGGTAACTTGACCAGCAGCTTGA